GAGTCCTGACCACTGGGCCCCAAGAACAGGGCAAAAATGATACGTGGCCCTGCCCCCAATGGGCACCCAGTCCCTGCCACGCCAACAGTACCTCGAGGAGGGCTGCATCCGCGGGGTCCAGGGGGACGCTTCCCTCCGGGATGGCATAGCGCTGGATGGAAAGCGGGGCGAGGGGGATGCCCAGGTCCGGCTCGAAGAGCATGTCGCGCTTGAGGCCCTTCTCCAGGGTGGTCAAGGAGAATGCGGCCAGTTCGCGGGCATTGACGACGGGGAGCAGGAGCTTGGGGTCGCACGGGATCTGACACAAGGCAGAGTTGGAGGGAGAGGGGAGTGAACTGGTATGGCGGACCCTTGCTACAGGGCGTCCTGTATTCTGAAGCCATCCGGTTGATGTTTGCCAGCAGCTGATCACTCGAAAACCGAGCCTTACCTCAGGCAGGTCATTCCGGAACTGGATCCTGCAGTTGAAAGGCGTTTCCCTCGTCAACCTGTTGGGCTCCCGACTCAGCCGAATGGTCGGCACCTTGCTCGGCTGTGAAGAGAAGGGAGAAGATAGCTTGGCAAAGGGATGGACATTCGGCATCGCTTGAGCTTCGAGTAATAAGAACCTGTATATCGTGCAGCACACCCAAGTTTCACTCACCGGGGCTGCCGGCATCCTTGCCAGTGGGTGGGGAGGAGGGACCCCTCCCACGCCCGCTCCAGGTCTGGTGTTTCACTACAGATCGTCGGCCACGAGAATGAATGAAAGCCGTGGAACTCAATTTTAGCCGATGAGGTCTTAAAGTGTAGCGTCTCTCCCTGTGGTCTTGGCAGAGGGCCCCGAGTATTTCATGCGCTCGCTCAGACTGGCATGTCGGGGGAGCTGCGCCCGCAGCACGCACTTCTTGGATCATATTACTTACAGCAGTCCATGCAGGTGATCGCTGACAGGCCTACAAAGGTCTTGGCGGTGACCCATTCATCAAGGAGTGTGCTTGGCTGGCTCGCAGGGGCTGTGAGTCGTTCCTGTCCTGTGGGTCTTGTCCCAGGGATAGCATCCCTGCTGGTCACTGGGCACCCCTCCACGCCGTGCGCTGCGAACATCGCGAGGCCGTGCGATTCGATCCTTTCAATATATAGTCTTTAACCACAATGAGCCTGCAGTGCTGCAGGCATGTGCGTTGCGGTGCCGTGGCTGGGTACTCCAGCGAGCGAGCAGCTGGACCTCGCCGGCCACAGAAGTTTCGGTCAACACTTGCCCAGCCTCGCCCTGAGGCCCGGGCGCGGCCTCACAATGCTTTGATACATGGCCCATACAGAAGCACAACCGCCATTTCCAGAGAAGCGACGAGGTGCCCGGCATCGACGTGTGAAGGCGGGGCCCAGGCCAACCCAACCTCCCTTCCCCCAAATCGTGGCCTTTTGATCGCGCTGGGCGTGGCAGCGTGCCTGGCGTGCCGGCACCTCCCTGTGACCGCTGCAGCACTCCCCTTTGCGTCGTCCACGGTGGCATGGGGCAAGGCGACTGCCGGCGCAGGTGTGATGGCTGGCTGGGGCGAGGGGGGTGGATGACCATGGACACCCTCCTCTGATGGCTCAGTCGAGGACCGCCAGGGTGGACTGCGAGGGTTTTCGTATTCACCCCATCATTCATTTTCAAAGTACCAGGATTGAACTCCCTGGCACCCCGCCACCCACACAGGGCTCACAGCGAGCGCCGGTTCCGCGTGGGCCGGCATGGCGGCCGGCTTCCTGCACACGCTGGCGGGCGCCGACCACCTCGCCGCGTTGACACCGCTCACGGTGGGCCGCCACCCCGTCGCCTCCTCCGCCCTGGGCGCCCTGTGGGGCGCCGGCCACTGCACTGGCCAGCTCATCCTCGGCCTGTGCATGGTGCTGCTGAAGGAGCGCTTCGACCAGGTACTGCCTTTCCAGGGGCCTTGGCTGCGCTGGGAGGCCGTCTCACGGGCCGCGGGCTGCCCAGTCGACGATCGTTTCCACTCACACACATGAAGAATGCATCCCCCCCCTCCTCTTCACCCCTCCAGCTAGTGCCTCTTCTGGATCGCTGGGGCGGCGCCTCGGTGGGCATCACCCTCCTCATCATCGGCGTGCTGGGCCTGCGCGACTCCTTGGCCCAGCCGGAGCCGGCGGCCCCTGCCCTGGCAGGCGCGGGGCCGGGGGTGGGGGCGGGGCCGCCCCCGCAGGGCGCGCGGGGCCTCACCGCCGAGGAAACCGAGGCGCAGGAGGTGGCGGTGGCGGTGGCGACGCGGAGCAAGAGCCTGGGCTCGCTGCTGGCAACCTATGTGACGGGCATCGTGTATGGCCTGCAGCCAGACGCCTTGTTCGTGGTCATCCCGGCGCTGACCCTGCCCAGCCGCCTGGCCGCGGCTGCCTACATGCTTTCTTTCCTCGTGGGCACGGTCACCGCCATGGGGGCCTACGCCGGGATCATAGGTGCGTTGTGAGGATCTGGCAGAGCCTGGCTGCAGGGAGTGCTTCTGTGTCTCTGGGTTGGAGGGTTTGTGAAAGACGTGTGCCACCATCAAATGCCTCTCTGCTCCCATGACACAATGAGTGTCAGAGGTTGACCCAGTCCCTGACACATAGTCTCCTGTTCATCGGATCCTATCATCGGCGCTCACATTCACATGCATGTCCGACACCCAACTATTGCAGGGGCGACCTCTCGTGCCATCTCGGGAACAAACGCCGCCCTCAACAGGAAGCTGGCGGCCGCGGCCTCCCTACTTGCGGCCGGGGTGGGGATGACCATCCTCGTGCCCTGCGTGGGACCACTGCTTGGGTGACAGCGTGGACGCCACCCAGACAGGCCCCTCGCCGACCTTGACGTCAGGCTGGCTGTCATGTACCCTTCCCCCCCCCTGACACCCTTTGCTTGCTCCGACGCTTGGCGTCCGCCCCTTTCGCACTTCGCACACCCCTCATCTGTTTCTCGTGCAGTTCAATGTATTGCAAGAGAGTTTTCAGGTTGCCAGCCCTGCAAGGCATGCAGAGCTGTCTGGCTGCAGGGAAGGAGGGAGCCTGACACAGAGGGGAGGAATAGGGTGCATAGGGTGGCCCGCTCCATCAGCTGCTGAAATCAGTCTGCACCGAGTCCACACCAAGAATTCAGGCCTGACGCGGCTGGAACGAAACTGTTCCCATGTCGCGCTCGCGGTTTCCACCAGAGTTCCAAGTGCTGATGACTTTCTGACCGTCCAAGCCTGCTGCCTTGAGCCTCTAGGTGCGGGATGGGAGTGGGGGAGGTGTCGGGATGCTGACTATTACCATGCAGGCAAAGGGACTGGCAGGTGGGTCTTGGGTGAGTGAGACGTGAAGAGTGTCAGCTCACCAATGGCAGGGGCATGAGAAAGCATACCTAGCACACATCCCAGTTGCCCAAGTGGCATGTACCTCTTGCATGTCCATATCCTCGGCGACGCCGTTGATGCGGCTCATGATGTCGTCTATCTTGAGGTCCTTGGTTGAGATTCGCACCACCTGCTTGCTGGCGTACGTCACCTCGACGAAGTTCTCCCCATTTAATCTGTATACATGTGGGCAAGAGTTGCACTGTGAGGCGCTTTTGCAGCTGTGGCATCACGCATGGCTGGGCTGTGTGATCCCAGTTGCCTAGGAGCCTTTTACCTAGCTGGGCAACTAGCCGAGCTCTGAAGGTCACTCCTCATGGGCATAGGAGGCCAAGCCACCCGAGTGCATATTCGATGCTTTACTCCAATAAAGCGTAGTCTCACCTGATTGCTTGTGATACCTCGCAGGCTGGGTTGGACTCCAGTGCTTTGCGGGAGGTGGCACGAGCCAGGAACTCTCTGGCCGATCTGGCCTCACCGGACAGTGGACTGAGCTGCACGAATACTTTAGCAATGTGTTTCAATTGCATGGCCATCTCGGGCCAAGGCTGGGGATCGTCCTCAGCGTGCACTAGGGGACGACACGGAGACCCGGCCAGCTCGGGTGTCGAGGCTACAGTGCAAGGAATATCCTTCGATCGAGGGCCAAAAGCGGTCTATGAGACATACGTCTTCAAACTGGAGTATGCTGCTGCGATGTCGAGGGGAAGGAACCTTCAGAGAATACTCTACCACCGGGCCATGCATGCCAGCGCGCCATGCAGGATGCACAAGCCCATTTGGCAGATTGCCGATCGCTCTCGATCCACGAGGGCCAACAGTATTCAAGGCAACTACTTTCCACCACAGATTTCCTCTGAGTTGCATTTGACGATCCACGTCACTGAGGGACTTGCTGTGCATCACCCACTCCCCAGGATCGTGATGTCGCAGCTCTTCAAGACGTTCGGCAAGGAGGGACACAAGGCTTCGGGTCACTCGCAGCTAAAATCATCGGTGCAGAGATCGATCCGAGGTGTGTGGTAGAGAGCGGCGCCTGGTGCGGTTGCACAGCCCTTGGTGTTGGTCTTGGGCACCCTGCGGCAATGGTTGCAGCCATCAGACACCCGCCCAACCGCGCTACCTTTCATTCCATGTAGGCAAGATTGCGGAGCAGTACCCGTGGCTAGAGACGACGGGAGTGCTGGAGGTCATCCTGCCCAAGAAGCAGGAGCTGACCCTCATCAAACTGTGAGTTGAACTTGGCCAATGGGCGGTGGTGCTGGTTGGAGACGACGCATGCCTGGCGCCTGTGAGCAGCACCTCATCCTAATCCTGATCTTTGTGCTCGACCCCTCCCGCGCCCCAGGCCCGAGCATGTGCAGCTGCTGGTGGCGGATCGGGTGGTCCTCTTCTTCTCCACGCGCGATGGCGGCTGGTTTCCCACGCTGCGCCTCCTGCACAAATACCCGGACATGATGCCGCGGCTGCGGGCGGACCAGGGCGCCATCAAGTTTGTGCTGAGCGGGGCCAACATCATGTGCCCGGGCCTGACCTCGCCGGGCGCAACGATGCACGACGAGGTGGAGGCGGGCACCCCAGTGGCCCTGTATGGAGAGGGCCGGGAACATGCCATGGCCATCGGCTACACCACAATGTCGACAGCCGAGGTGAGAGGGGGGTAATAAAGGGCTGTCTGGGAGGGGGGAATGGGCAGGGAGAGGGAGGGCTGGAATGAATAGGCTGCGTGCTGCGCGATTCGCCGGCAACAACTGGGAGGCAACGGTGGTTTCGACTTGATGCTGGCGGCGCCAAACGTATGCTACTTTGGAGCTAGCTGGACCGGCTTGCCCGCCAGCCTCACAAAGTCCCAAAGGCGACCAAACCTCAGCATGCACCCCCCTTCACTCACTCAGTCCACCCCTCGCCCCTTCATCCGCACAGATGCGAGCGCAGAACAAGGGGATTGGAGTGGAAAATCTGCACTACCTAAACGATGGGCTCTGGAAGACCCTCAAGATTGATTGAGCGTAGAGGGAAGGCAGCATGGGCTTAGAGGAAGGCGAGCATCCTCTGCCTGAATGCAGAGGGTGACACAGGCCCTGATCTCTCTTGGAGGCAAAACCTGGCGGTGACTCCGAGGTCGTCTCGGTGACGCCCGACAGAGAACGAGACCCGACCTGGCCGGGGGGGGTGCATGCCTCGACTCCCCACCCACGGAATTGGCGCAAATGGCAGCTAGAGCCTCGCCACGGCTAATCATCAGGAGCTGGCTTCCACATGCCATCCTGCCAGGCTGGTCCGTGCTGCATCGCTTTGCGTTCCCTAACTGCTGCCACCCTGCTCGCTGTGGCTTTCATTCTGAGAGTATCAGGCAAACACACCCTGAGCTTCATTAACAGGCAATGAGATGCTTCCAGAGCACGAATTACAGTGACTCTTGCCCATACCTGCACCCCTCACAACTCCGGCAGCCTCTCCAACCGCGCGGCAAAGGCGCCATCGGTGCCGTGCCGGTGGGGCCAGGCCTCCAGGAAGCCGCGCTCGTTGAGCAGGCCCCGGGGTACCAGGCGCGCCGCCTCGGCGGGGGGGCAGGCGGCGAAGCGCCGGCCCTCCGCCGTCTCGGTCAGGAACCAGTGCACGGCCTCGCCATTCTCCTCTGCCTCCAGCGAGCAGGTGGAGTAGACCAGGACCCCCCCGGGCTTCACCAGGGAGGCCGCGGCGATGAGCAGCTTGCGCTGCGGACGAGGAAGAACGCGGGGGTGACCGGCGCAGCGATGAGAATGGATCTTGTGGGGAGGAGACGCTTGCCGGCCGGTGTACCTGGGTGCCTGCTCGGCAGCGCCCCACCAGAAGAGGAGCCCAGTCCCAGACTAGCATCCCTAGCCCTTCCCTCTCTCTAACAGTGAAGCAAAAGCAAACCAACAACTACACACCTGCAGCGAGACCAGCTCCGCCACGTCCCCCGGCTTCCTCCTCCAGCGAATGTCGGGCTTGTGCGCCAGCACGCCCGTGCCCGAGCACGGCGCGTCCAGCAGCACGCGGTCGAAGCTGGCACGCAGCTTCCCGTCGGCCGCCAGCGCCTCCAGCCCCTCGGCACGGGTGGAGAAGAAGGGCGGCACCAGCCCGCGCGCGGCGGCGGCGGCCCCCACCAGCCGCAGCCGCGCGGCGGAGGCGTCGGCGGCGACCAGGCGCCCCTCGCCCCGCATGCGCGCGGCCAGGAACATGGCCTTCGTCCCCGGCGCGGCGCACGCGTCCAGCACCGCCTCGCCCGGCGCCGCGTCCAGGAGCAGGACCGCAGCCCCCGCCGCCTCGCTCTGCACCGCCACGGCGCCCCTCGCCAGCGCGCCGCCGCGGACCACGGCCTGCATGCCGCGCGCCACCTCCACGAAGTGGTCGGGGAGCCAGCGCGCGGGGCGCAGCGCCGCGCCCGCGCCGCGCAGCTCCTCGCACAGCGCCTCCCGCGCCCCCCCGCCCACGTCCAGGCGCAGCCCGTGCGGCGCGGCTATGTTGAGCGCGCGGCACAGCTCCGAGGCCTCGGCCACGCCCAGGCGCGCCACCCAGCGCTCCACCATCCAGGTGGGCAGAGAGTGCATGCACGCCAGGCCGTCGGCAATGGAGTCCGTGGGGGGGATGGGCGTGCCCGGGGCTGGCGCGGCCGCCGCAGAGGGGCCGGGGGAGGGAGGGCCGGGGTCCGAGGAGGGGCGCCCCGCACTGCCCCTGCTCCGTATCCACTGCCGCAGCACGGCTACGGGTTTTGGGGGGGGGGGGGGGGGGGGGGGGGAGGGGTTCCCTCTTCAAGCACAGTTGGTGCTGCCGCCAGGAAGAAACAGGAGGGTTTGATGAGGCCAGGGATTCGAGGGGTTTGCTTTGGAGGGGCAAAAAGGGGGATCTCGGGCACGTCGCTGCACAGCTGCACAGCTGGGCTTGGGTGCAGGGTGGCACGCGCCCTTCGATGCAGGCTCTCCCCCGCATCAGGCCGGCGCGCCCCCCATCTCGGAGCGGATGACGGCCGCCAGGCGGCGCAGGCCCTCCTCCACCTGCTCCGGCGTGTTGTAGGAGAAGGAGATGCGCATGGCGGGGGATGCGAACCCTGGCGTTCCCGCCCTGACGTTCAACGCGCCCCCCGGCACCGCCACGACCTTGGCCTCGCGCATGGCCTCCCAGATGCGGGCCGAGTCGGGGATGCCGCGCAGCGTGATCCAGAGGAACATGCCCGCCCGCGGCTGCTCCCAGTCGGCAAGGCCGGCGAGGTGGCGCTGCGCCGCGGCGTGCACGGCGGCGGCCTTGGCCGCGTAGTGGCGCTGGATGGCGCGGATGTGGGTTTGGGAAGAAGCCGATAATGGCGGGGGCGACAAAGCGCTGCGCGGCAGACGGGTCGTGCTTGCTGTAGAAGCCCATGGCCTGGGGGTAAGGGGGGTTGGATTAGATGGTGAGGTACTCGCACAAACAACTTCACGAGGAGTGGTGGCGGTGGGGTGGGGGGGGGGGGGGGGGGGGGGGGCACCTTTGAAGGGCCTGGAGGAGTGGGAGGGCATGTCAGACACCTTGAGTTCACGCAAGCGACCAGCCCTGCATCAGCGCCGCCTACGCAGGCGAGCTCGCCAGGCAGTCCGTCGCCGCTGCCCATCGGCCCCCCCTTCCCACCCACATGCGCCACCCCAGCCGCCGCACCGTTGACGAGGCGCCCGGCGCCGACGTGCAGGATGCCCTTTGTCAGCTCCACGTAGGTGTGGGTCAGGGCGTGGTCGGGGAGGGCCCCGCGCTCCGCCTCGTGCACCGCCAGGCGCAGCAGGCAGCGCAGCTGGGGGTCCACGCCCGGGTCGAGCCACGCGTCCAGGGTGCGGTCCAGGAGCCGGCGCTGGCGCATCACGCCCGCCACCAGGGCCGTGGCGCCCCGCTGTGCCTGCTTCCTGTGGAAAACAAGAAGGGAAGGAAAGGGGGACGCGTGAGGGAAGAGGGAGCCCGGCCTGACATGACGATGCCCCAACCACCATCCCAGAGCCACACAGCCCTCAGAGTCGTTGGATCCAGCCACGCCTGCTCACTGCTCATCAGAGGCGCGGGGCAGGAGGTCTGTGTCCATCGCTGCCGGCATGTTGAGCCCCTTCTCGATAGATTGTTCGAGGTACAGCAGTCTGGTGAGCGCCATCGTGCGCGGGTTTGCTGGCAGGGCGCGAGACTGCCGCAGGACCCTGAAGGTGGGTTGATGGGGAAAAAGGGGCGGCATTTGATAGGTGTACAATGCATCATGGGCGTATGACCATCGTCCACTCGGCTTGGGACGACCTGCAGTCCCATGTAGGCTTCAAGTCCAAACGAAGGGGCGGCATTGTTCACCTTTAGCATGAAAGGAGGCATCCCCACCCAGCCCTCCACGCTTACCGCTGCCATTTCTTGTCATTAGCCGAGGGAGGGGGTTGCGGCGGCTTCCCCTTCCTCCCAGATTGGAAAGCCTGGGCCTGGCATCTGGTTGAGTGGAGCGCCTTGCCAGGGAAAGGCTTCATGCAATCGTGCTCCGCAGTCGTGCACGAAGGAAAGTTGGCCAAGGAGCTCAGTTCCTCCAAGTTTATTTAAGATATCATTGGCCTCATTTCGTATACATCAAAGACGTACCCTCTAAAATCTGCACACCTCGGTAAGACTTTGCCCCGTTTGTTGCGATAGGCTTTTGGCGTCACGTGATCCAACGACGCCAAGGCGCGACGCCATTGCTCGAACAAAGGGGTGATGTGAGCCCAAAGCCGGGGGCCGTCCAACGTCGTAGGAGAGACTCTCGATTTATCGGAAGTCCAATGTGCGCCATGGCGTCCCACGCGTCGCCTTTTGCGTCCCTGAATGGACCGCGTTCACTGGTGTCCGCACCAACCCCCCTCACCATGCGGACTACTGGCTGGACCCCCTCCTGCCCACCCACCTGCTCCAAAGCATCTCTAGAGTCTACAGCGGCTGCTGTGCGCCGCCGGACGCGCTCCAGTCGACACCGTGGGGCCTGCCGAGTTTCCACAACATGTGGGGCGGCGGAGCCTGACAATGACTCTTTCCTGGACGGGTACCTGCGCGTCCTACGCAAGCATAAGCCGGGTGAGGCGGTGTCTTCTGTGAGAATATATATCATACACCGGCATGCTGCTGGCGGACAGGGTCGGCAGGGGGGGTTCATGGCAAGGCAGGGCACAGGGCTTCACACAGAACTCTCGGGCTTGGTGCCCACAGAGAATGCCTGCCACATGCAGAACCCCCTTGCCCCACACCCCTTTGTTTACTCACAAGCACAATTCCCTCTTCAGAGCTGGTAGCCAGGTCTGGCAGGGTGCACCTAGTGGGCACAGGCCCTGGGGACCCCGAGCTCCTGACGCTGCGGGCCCACCGGCTGATGCAGGGCGCCGACGTCGTGCTGTACGACCGCCTGGTGTCGCCCGAGATCCTGGACCTGGTGGGACCCTCCACGCTGACGGTGTATGTGGGCAAGCAGCGCGGCTTCCACACCCGCACCCAGGAGGAGATCCACGATCTGCTGGCCGCTTTCGCGCGGGAGGGGGCGGAGGTGGTCCGACTCAAGGGCGGCGACCCGTTCATCTTCGGCAGGGGCGGGGAGGAGGTGGCCTACCTTGCTGCCAGGGGCATAGAGGTGCACGTTGTCCCTGGTGAGTCACGAGGGGGACAGGACTGTGGTGCTGCTACGGCCTTCATGTTGCCGGGCTGAACAGACCCTTCGGGCTGCTTATGGCGGTGGGCAGCGCAGATCTCAGGAGGACCCCTCTCGGTCTTGCCCTCCCTCAACCCTGCAAGTCCTCATACCATGCCTTCACCCCCTCACCATCCCCAGGTATCACGGCGGCGGCGGGCATCGCGGCAGACCTGGGCATCCCCCTGACCCACCGGGGCCTGGCCACCGGGGTCAAGTACCTGACCGGCCACGCGCGCGAGGGGGGCAGCATCGAGGGCGGGCTGAGCGAGGCCGCCGCTGACCCCGACGCCACCCTGGTGGTGTACATGGGCCTGGGCACGCTGAGAGAGCTGGCCGCCGCGCTAGCAGTACGGGGTCTGAGTCAGCACACGCCCGCCGCGGCGGTGGAGCGCGGGACTACGCCAGGTCAGCGCGCCGTGTTCGGCACGCTGCGCACGCTGCCGGACGCCGTGACGAGTGCGGGCCTGGCCTCGCCCACGCTGCTGGTCATCGGGCGGGTGGTCAGCCTGGCGCCGGGGTGGCAGGCGGCGTGCCGTGCGGACGGCGGCGTGGCCATGGTCGCGGGCCTGGGGTCGGGGGCGCGCGGCAGCTTTCAGCAAGCCAATGGCAGCGGAGCCGAGAGAGGGTCGGCAGCAGGGCTGGGGGAGGAAAAGTCTTGGTGCGACGAGGTACTGAAGGAGGCAGAGAGCAGGGCCCAGGCGCGGCGATGAGGTTAACGCCGGGGTTATCATGCTGCACCCTTGGGATGCAGAGACCGAACGAATGCTGTGCTTCTTGAGCTATTTCAAGGTTCAAATGAATACCTGAGCACTGTACACTGGACGAGGTATAGTTGTAACACATGTTGTAGAACTTTATATTTGCGATGGGCTCCAGGCACATCCTGCGCCAGGAGGGGCAGCATCCCTGCAAATATGAGCTGCATGCAAGCCGGCTTGTTGTGGCAGTAAGGAATCACCCGCCTACGCCTGCAGGGATTGCCAATCTCCTCTACCTGCGTCCTGGCCCTCAGTCTTTTGGCTTCTGCTGGTCGGCTTGCCGTTGAAGACCCTGCAGCAGCGCCAGCGTGCCAAACCCCTGCAGCATGGTTGGATGGAGGGAGAGCATATGTTTTTGGATCATGCGGCGGTCCCTCACACCTGAGCACCACCTCTGGGTCACACTGGTGAGCAGGGAGCACTTGGTTCCTGGAGGAGGGCAGTAGGGTTCCACATCCAGCCTCCGGCCTCGTCCGCCCCTGCCCCCTTGGGCACCATCAACGCATGCCCACCGACCTCTGCCGGGACGCCAAAGTGGGAGGGGTGCAGCTGCCCGCTGTTCAGCGCCTGCGTCAGCACATCCAGCGTGTGCCGGAACTGGGGCGTGGTGACGAGGTGTGCGATGGCCTCCGGGGTCCTGCGGCGGGGCAGGGGCGGGGCAGGGGGCATGCCCGGCGGGCCGTCGTGCTCCGAGCTGAGCGGCTGCCGGGGGACACGGGTGGCGGGCTGCTGCACCCTCTGCGGCATGCACAGGGTCGCCCCAAGGCACTCACCTGTGGGCCTTGGGGAGGTGGGGGGCCATCGCTGCCACCAGCTCGGGGCGGCGCGCGAGGAGGGGGACCAGGGTGGCGGGGCGGAGCACGCTCGCCAGGGAGGGCCCGCCGGCGGGGCCTGCCCGGGCGCCGCTCGACCCGTTCCCTGCCGCCGCGCCCAGGTTGCCCAGGGCTGCCGCCAGTGCCGAGGCCCCGATGGGGACGGCAGCATCCGCGACGGGCGGCTCGGCCGGCGGAGGGGGTGAGGGTAAGGGGCGCATGAGCGCGAGCAGCGCTGCGCCGGCCTGGCTGCCCGCCGGTTCCTGACTCCAGAAGAAATGGTCGGGGTGCGTGCCGTCGCCCGGCTTGAGATGCATGATGTTACCATCGGGACGGCAGATCTGCGTGGGGCGGCAAGGGGGCGGGCGTCCCAGGATCGGCTCGCAGCGATGGGCGCGGCATGGAGGATCATGGCAGGGAGGACCAGAGGATCAAGGCACTTCCTACTGCCCCTCACCTGCACCAGGGTGAAGGGGCCTGACGTTTCCACCTCGCACGCTGCAGCCCCCTCCGCATCCCGTTCCTTCCACTGCACTCTGAAGTGTCCGGGGGAGTCTGCTGGGCACACAGACAGGATCCCACGCCGGGGGTCGGGGTGCAGGCGCCCGCTGCTGTGGGTCATGAGCCCCGCCCGGACCTCCATCGCGCTATTTATCAGCTGATGGAGACTGAGCGGTGTGCTACGATGGGCAAGCAGCTGATGTGCTGCAGCTCGAGCAGTGCCGACCGTCGAAGCCGAGACGTCCGGTTCGTGGGGATTCGATCTTTTGAGTTGATTGACGGCTTACATCCGGTATGGCATATTTTACTGAACGATGTGTGTTGCTCTGGATTGCTGCGTTACTTTATCACCGCTCAGTCCGCTGGGGAGCCGGGTGGAGCAGGGCGCCAGGGCGCGGTCGTCGGCTGAGTATCTGGGGTTGAGACGTTGCAGTCCAGCGAAACAAGTCGATTGTTCACCCTCCATCAAGCGTGTATGCCCCACCAAGAGGTCCATTCGAGGCAGCTCACAGAAGGGATATGGTGCGGGAATGTGGGACAATGTCCAGTAATGGTCATGCTTACAACAACTTCAGGGGCAGAGCTCAGGATGCAGGAGCGGATGCTTTGGGTTACATAGTATACTTTGGTTGGCCGGAACACATTGCGTGTCAGAAGAATTGGCGGGCCAGCCGTGACGCACGGAGGGTAGGATGGAGGCAGGGGAAAGCGGTGGAATTGAGCGAACGTCACGATCAGTGTGCGCATTATAGTACTAGGCCTCAAGAGGCTGAAAACAAACAGGGAGGACAAAGAAGCATGGGGGAATCATGCTCAAAAGTGGACTCGTCCCCCTACACCCCAGTAGTTTGGCTCAGGAGCGTTCAAGTGACTTCAGCCTGCATGCTCAATCTTGACATGCACGGACTCCTTCACCATCTCCTTGAACGTGAACGAAAATTTCTTTTTGCGGGGAGAAGGACGGGGCGTCGGGGACGGACTGGGTGGTGGTGATATGGGTAGGTCACTCTGCGGCGGAGGAGGTGGGGGACTGGTTGGTGGGGATGATGGGGGTGGAGGCGGGGATGGTGAATCGACAGGCGAGGGCGGAGGGGGGGGTGAACCGACAGGTGAGGGCGGAGGGGGGGGTGAATCGACAGGCGAGGGCGGAGGGGAGGGTGAATCGACAGGCGAGGGCGGAGAGGGAGAGCTGGCAACAGGACTGTTGGCATGATCGTCCACGATCTTACTGGGTGGAGGTGGAGAAACGGTGCTCGGAAGAACGTTCTGCCCGTAAGCACCTGATTCATGTCAGGAAGGGGAGGACCGTATGTGTGAAGATGCCTGGGAGCCGGGGAAGACTGAATGGAAGGCGAACCCACTCTTCATGCATCGTGTCATGGCAGCACTCAAGTCATGCATGGCTCCTTCACAAATCACCTATGACATTGCCCGCGGGATAGTAGCGGCACACCAGGTATGTCCAGTAGCCCGGCGCATTCAGGTTGTTGACGTAGCCGGGACATTTGACGAAGCCGCAGCCGACTTCTTTGCTGCCCTTCCAAACCACTGTACGGGTAAGAGAGAAGTTTGGGTGGATATCTTGAGTTTTCGACAAGCTTATGTCCCATTGGGAGGTTGGCAGGCCATGCCTGGTGCAGGTGAGCCACCCGCGCAATTTAAGCAGCCACCCTGCCACCACCTAGCATCTCCCCTAAGCGCAAGACCCTCTGGAGCGGCCCCGAGCTCCACTGTGCTGCAACTTACTTTGAGTGAAGTGGCCAGTGTCCCCTCCGGTTCCCAAAACGTAGCTCCTGGCCTCGTTGTAGTACCAGGCCTTCCAGACGTGCTCGCACGTAACCCGGATGTTCCGGGTATAGAGGATGTTCTCGCCGGCATACTTGCCGAACCCCGACCGGTTGGGCTTGGGGGCATGCCCATAATGGCATTTCTCAGCGTACTCCTCAGACACTCTGGCCAGGGTTTCATTCCACGTCAGACGCCCCACGCTGTACACAGGGTGGCCGGGAATCGGGGGGTTTGTGACCGCGCGTATCCATGGACTGGTCCGGATGCTGAGATCAGCAACCCTAACCCATACTGTCCATCGCCATGGATTGCGCTAATCTAACCACTGCCCACCTGTGCTCTGAGCGCGCCAGGTTGTGGATCTGCAGCAGGAGCTCCGGAGTATCGCAAAGTGGCGCTGTCCGGGGTGTGTACGAGGGGTCGTTGGTGTACTGAACGGTCGTCGCCGAGTGGGAATTATCGGGGCAGAACACATGATGCCGCGCCAATTCCCTCACCTTGAGTGGCGAGAAGCGCACGGGAGGCTGCTGCCTCGGAACCCATGGGAGCGACAACCACTGTCGCGATCAAAGCGACGAGCAGCGACCACCCGGGTAAAACCATGCTGTCTGACAGGCTTTGGCAGTCTCGCAATTATAGATCTTGTGTCTGGCGGTGATTGCCAGTGAATTTAAGAAGAAGTGTGACGAACGTGGTCAATTGACTCCCTAGGCAGAGCTTTATTAGTGAGTCAGGAGCTGGTTCTCACTTTCTTATCTATTCCGGTCACCGGACAGGGAGGTGCCCGGTCCGACTGGGTGGATGATGTGGACCCGCGCCAGCTCAAGTGTTGAGTGTGACACTGGCTTACATTTGATCCAAACTGGGCTTGTGATGTAGACAAATTGGGGTAGTAGTACAGGCGTGGAAGTCCGAAATAGTCTGATCCTGGGTTGGAGTCTGATGTGCATGTGGTCAACTCGTCACAAGCGCATCCACACCTTGCTAAGTGGGTGGTCATGGTAAGGGTATGAGTCCTGGTGACGTCGCTGTCATCCACAGCATCAGATGTGCAGTTCTCGTGACAGTGTCTGCATGCGCTGTATTGTGTATGCATGGGCCCTTGGCTTGTGTATGGTCGCCTTGGATAGTCGATATTCATGTCCAGACAAATAGCTCCTCCTGTCATTGCAACTGATGGCTTGAACTTTGAGCTCGAATGAGACTATGCACGTGGAGGCGGTGCTCGTATTTTAATGAAGAGGGGTGGTAGATTCTTCCAGTAAGATTGGCGCGAAAACTTCCCCCATTTGGATGGAGGGGCTAATTGTTTCTTCTTGGCTGGAGGTGGTGAGCGTTTAAATTTCGACACGTATGGTGAACGCTTCACCTTGGGTGGTGGCGGAGGTTTAATTTTGGGCTTCGGGCTGCTGACAACAGCCTTTGGCGGCGGCGACTTCTTGCTTGGAGGCAGCAACTTCTTGCTTGGGGGTGGCGACCGCCTGGGACTTGGTGGAGGTTTGCTTTGTGGTGATGGTGGTGGTGGTGGGTTTGTTGGGGAGAGGGTGGGAAGGTCAGAGTCTGACTCGGCCTGCACGTTCTCTCTGAATTGCCCTGCATGCATCCGTGGACATGAGTCGGTGGAGATATAGCCTTGACACTCAAGCGTGGACGGCCACAATTTGCATCGCAGCAAACATGCCGAACAGCAGCGCCCACTGACACCTGCAGCGCACCTTGCACATTTCCAGGAGTGTTGTACTGGCTGCAGGAGGGGCGCAGGGGCATTGAGGGCGGGGATGAAGTCAAGGGCTCATTAACATTCCCATTTGCACAGAGGAACACTCTCCCTGGCCGCACGCTCTGTCTCAACGCAGCAGATCATTCGGGGACTCACCACACCATCATCGTCCAGGGCCCTCGGACCGAGGGTGGTGCGGTGGAGGCATCGCATGCTGCAATGCCGCACCCCAGCTGGCTGGTTGCCTTCCAGACGACTGTGACAGAGAGTAGGCAGAGGACACAGATGGGAGACTAGGGGGTCTCTGGTATGAGGCGGATCAAGAAACGGCAGAAGCAAGCTTCAAGACACACGCGGGTCCTGCCGCCCACAAAATAAGTCAGAGTCTGGCCCACACCTTGAGAAAAGTGGCCGGCATCAGGCTGGTATCCTGGGTTTGCATAGCTGTAATCATCCCGCTCATTGTCGTACCAGTACTCCATTGCTATAGAGCAGGTTGTAGATGTTCCCTGTGCAGGAGAGGAAGGAGTATGAGAGGAGGAAAGGGCCGACGGTACATTACAGGCACCGGCAGGGACGAGCCTTTCCCTCGTCGGGAAAAGCAAACACAGATCAGTTGCGCAGTGCTGGGGCGCGTCTGCCCGACGACAAGCTGCAAGCCAGGCCTAGAGCTGGCAGATCCTGCGGACGTCCTACCCAGGACATGAGGATGTTCTCCCCGTACTCGGACTGGGAGTGGGACCAGATGCATCGCTCGGCCCACTTAGTGGCAGACTGCGCAACTGTTGCACTCCAAACGAGGGGCTTGGAGCTGTCATAGGAAGAGAATAGTACAGATTTTTGCAAGAACAAGCATTCCAGTAATACGTTCAGGTGCAGATACATTGGCATCTGGGCGCACACCCATCGATCCAGAGTGGACGTCCCCTACTGGCGCCGGAACCTCCGGATTTCGCTTACCCGTGCGCTGCCCGCGCGGTGTTGTGGAGAGCAAGCAGCTGCTTAGCATCCGTGCAAGCTCCCCCCTCTACAGCAGGAAGAAGGTATATGAACTTGTTGAAGGGGTCGCTGTGCCCTTCCCCGGAGGACATGGGCGCGGCAACAGCGGCAGCCTTGGCAGGCGGGTTACAAAGACCGGGACCCTCCCACGTCGTGTTGGAGGCCTCACCAAGCATGGAGTTGGCCAGCAGGTCCCTTTGGGCTTCGACAAAAGACCTTCCGGTGAACAGCAGGGCCAGTAACAACAGCACATGCGCTGTGCTTTGGGAAGGGGAGGTTGAGCGCTGCATGCCGGCCACGCTGAGACGAATGAAGGCCGAGCGGACCGCAGGATATCGCAACGCGATTCCTGCAAGAATTCGACATAGTGGGCCTCTCCTCCATCCAATCGCAGCCTGTCCACATAGGGGTCAGAGTGGAGGAGGAAATCTAAGCGCACTGGCCCCTTTCCCCCGATGGGGAGGCTTGGGGAGGCCTTCCTTGCACCAAAACCATGGTAATGTCTCGGAGATTGAACAGCAAAATGTGGTGTATGCCCTGTGTACACGCAGCTTGGCCGGTGTGCTTTCATAATGGGAAGCAGCGCCTCCGTTCAACGCACAGCAGGGGTGGCGATGGGGTCGAAGTTGATTCCCCCCAGCCAGGCCCAGCCGATGGTTGCATGGCCGCCACAATCCCGCGTTCCAACACCACCCTGGCCTACTTATCCGATGATACTGGAAAGGTTGTGTGCTTACATGCGCTCCAAGAAGAATGAAGAATCGGCAGTGCAAGGAAGGAGGTATCGTCCTGGTCCAGAGCATGGGCAGGAACCGGGCGACAGGATTATGTTGAGGAGGGATGAAGTAGCAAAGCACGGTGTGTATAAATGAGGCTCGCAGCTTCTGCCAGCTTGAGCTGGGAGAAGTGATGCACAAACGTAAGACTGGAAAAACAGCAATGTTGACGAATTATGAAATCACCCACCCTCTATGCTGCACTCTCAACCGGACAAGCTATCTGTGAACTCATTGAGACGGGCAGCAGCCTCGGCTTGGGTCAGACCCAAGGCCTCCTCGCTGGAAGTCTCCTCATTGCTGACGGGGGTTGGTGACAACGGAGACGTCGTCACTGGGCTGGGGGAAGGCTCCTCAGGGCTGGGGGAAGGCTCCTCAGGGCTGGGAGAAGCAGGAGAGGTAGCCTTAGGGCTGGGTGAAGGGGAAGAATTCTTCTTAGGGGAGGGGGGCGGCGGTGAGGCATCCTCGGGGCTGGGAGGAGGAGGAGACTTCTTCTTGGGAGAGGGGGGCGGCGGCGAGGCATCCTCGGGGCTGGGAGGAGGAGGAGACTTCTTCTTGGGAGAGGGGGGCGGCGGCGAGGCATCCTCGGGGCTGGGAGGAGGAGGAGACTTCTTCTTGGGAGAGGGGGGCGGCGGCGAGGCATCCTCGGGGCTGGGAGGAGGAGGAGACTTCTTCTTGGGAGAGGGGGGTGGCGGCGAAGCGTCCTCGGGGCTGGGAGGGGGCGGCGATGCATCCTCGGGGCTGGGAGGGGGCGGCGACGCCACCGGGCTAGGTGGAGGTGGGGAGGCGACCACGGGGCTTGGCGGCTGCATGAAGAGAGGATACACGGATGAGCTTTGGCACAGCGAGATGCGCGATGGCTTGCGAACCCACGCAGGCAAGCAGTCTACCATCGCGACCAGCGTGCAATCAGACCCAGGAAGGGTCAGGCATGCTGCAGATTGCAGGGGGTGGGCTACCATCGACTACAATTCCTGCGGGGCCCTGGAAACATATAACCAAGCCATGTGCCCAAGGACTCTGGACGTCACCCACCGGCGAGACGGTGGTCTCAGGCAGGACATTGGCAGCAAACTCGCCATCCACGTTTCCGGACGGGTCAAAGTCGCTGCACCGGTAGAGGGTGGGTGGTTTCAGGGGGAGACATGGAATCGAAGGGGCATGCCAGCTGGGTGTGGCAGAGCTGATGGTGGGATGGCGGCACACCACCACGTTCCCTCGACACCCGGCCCATCTTGTGTCACAGATGTTCTGGGCAGCAAGCAAGCTCGCACCAGTCTCCTCCCCACGTGCTCACCACACGATGAAGTGCCAGTTGCCGGCGGTGGGGCCCGCGTACCAGGAGGACCCTGGGCACTGCGCCACGGCGCAGCCCATTTGGGTGGTGGACAGCCACACAATCTGGGAGAAGTGCCCGGAGTCGGCCTGGAAGCTGGGGTTGGCGTAGTCGTAGGAGCCGGCCTCGTTGTTGTACCAGTACTGCATGGCCATGGAGCAGCCCCCGTCCGTGATGGGACCCCAGGCAACCAGGATATTCTGCCCATACCCGCTGCCGCCGTGGTTGCCGCTGCAGGTGGAGGCGACGGCGGCGGCGGCGGCGGCGATGGTGTCGCTCCAGGTCAGGGCAGGAGCCCTGTGAGGGGGTGCAAGGTTTGCTTTCGGTGGGCATAGGTGCAGGTCCATTGAGCACAGTGCGAGAATTGGGGAAGCAGGAGACTTCATACCCCCGACGGGCAGTTGGAGACGAGAACCCCGCAACCACCCACCCGTGGGCGGCCCGAGCGGCATTCACGAGGCTCAACAGGTTCGCGGAGTCGGGGCAGGTCTCGGTCGCTGCAATGTGGAGGGATGGGGAAGGGGTGAGAGGAGGAGCTGCGAGGGTATCGGGTAAGGCCGCGCTTGGTTCGGTTCCCGGGGCGTCACGCGGCGGCAGGCCGAGAACGCGGCGACGGCGGCAACTTGGTCAACTACAAACCCGGCGCACATTGGAGCAAGCGACGGGAGGCCAGGCCACCGGGCAAATTGCGTGCCGCATAGGCGGTAGTTGCGAGAAGGAGGCAGTTGAGCAGCAGTCTAACTGCTGGAGTGACGGTGGCCATGATGGGCAGAGGGCAGGATGTGGATGGCTTGTTGGAGGGGTGGATGGTTGATTTAGGCAAGGACGAGGGGAGAAAGGGGCAATATGGGGTTTTGTATCCGACTCGGTCAACTTTAAGTTCCCCTGGTAGTTCCTGACGGCTTTCATCCCTACATCCCCTCCGCTGTGGCGAGCTCTTTCCATCAGTCTGACAGAAGCTCGCCTTCGGCAGTCTTCCTGGCAGACCGAGCCGCCGGCGATCTCGCGATCCCTGCCGACCTGGTACCTCACCCAATGCTAGATCTACGCATTCTAAGAGCTTTTATTGTATGAGATTGCCTCTGGCGTGCTGGAAGTCGTGGAGAGGGAGATCATGTTCTGAGTTTTTGGCTATCCTTTCCTCGCGCCGTCCGCTCGTACGACCAGCCTCGGGCCCCGCCAGCCACCTGTGACCTCCCGCCAGCCAACGCACCCGGACGGCCTCCGGCCAGACAGACAGGCGGAAACTTCTGGGTCCAGCTCGGCGCAACTCGCTCCTAATTCGAATTCAGCCAGACACGGCGTGGCTGTCCTGCCAGCTCGCGCCCTGCAGGCGGCTGGGCATGGATCCGCGGGGGTCTCGGCAATATCCTGGTGCGGACGTGGACCTCCCCTTCCCCCCTCCGCCTGTTGCCCCCCATATGAAAGTGGATGGGCCTGTCAGCAGCCCCGGCTGCAGGTCTGGGTTTCTTGCGTGTGCCTTCTTGCAGGTTCTCAGATGCGTTGCTCGCTTTCATGATCCCCAGTCGTCACCATTGACATGCAGTCGAGAGCACCCTCGTCTCTGCTCCCTGCCCTGCCCTCTCCCTTGCTACGGATCGCGTCTTTAATGGGCTTACAGGGCAGGGCAGGCCGGCACGCGTCTCGCCGCTCCAACTCCTCCCCCGCTCGCCGCTCCTCTAGGCTCCCAGCTCACTGCTCCGCCCCCAGCCAGGCGGAGAACACCTCGTACTGCTCGCCGATGTAGTCGGAGTCAGTGACCATGTTGCCGTAGAAGGCCTTGGCGGTGTCCTTGGTGCCCGGGGCGCGCGCCTTCTTGCCCGCCTTCTTGGCGGAGGCGCGGAACTCGGCGCGCCGCGCGGCGGCCGCGTAGGGGTTCAGCTTCAGCATGGAGCCCAGGTTGCGCAGCGGGTTCTTCTTCAGCGGCGCGTGCTTGCCGGCGGGCTTGGCCGGGGCCACCACGCTCTGCACCTCGTCGGAGTTGATCAGGCGCGCCAGGTCGCCGTTGGTCATCACGTGGCGCGGCAGGCGGTACCCCTTCTTCTGCTCGCTGGCAGTGGAGGTGGTGCCGAACACGGCGTCCAGGCGCGCAAAGGCGGCCTGCGTCCAGACGATGAACCGGCCCAGGTGCCCGCCGGGGGCCAGCTGAAGCAGGTTCAGCCGGTCCACGCAGGCCACCTCCACGCCGGGGATGTTGCGGAAGGCGCGGGTGATGCCCGAGTCGTTGGCGTAGACCACCAGGGGGCCCTTGCGCGACACGTACCGCCGGTTCCTCATCTTGCCCTTGCCGCGGCGCAGGTTGCGCGACGCCTCCACCTTCTTCACGTCCTCCAGCGCGCCCACCGACGCCAGCAGGGCCAGGGCCTGCTTGGTCTTGGTCAGCGACTCAGCCGCGTTGGAGACCACCAGGGGGACCTCGGGCACGTTCTCCACGCGGTGCCCGCGGGCGAGGACCAGCGCGGGCAGCGCGGAGGCGGCCAGGGCCGACACCACCGCGTACCGCTTCTGGTTCACCGCCACCTTGCGGTGCCAGCGGCGCCAGGTCTTGGTGGGGGAGTACATGTGCCCGCCGCGGACCATGTTGCCAAAGGCAGCCTGGCCTGTTGGGGGCGGGGAGGGAGGGAGAGGAAGGCGGCGGTCAGGGCCCATGCGGAGGAAGCGCCTGCTGCTGGTGTGCTCTCCAGCACAGCGGGCATGGCAAACAAATGCAGGCCTGCTGTTCCCAGGCACGCTGAGATGCTTTCCATGTTGGCAAGGGCTCGGTATTGCCGCCTCCGGCATGAGCGGCGCGGCGCACGCGAGCGGCGCCCAGTGCTGTCGCCAATAACACACTTTGCAGCTCCGCAGGCCCGTGCCGGGTCGCGACTCGAGCGGTCCCCGCCCCCAGCCCCTTCCCGGGATGCCCTCCATTACGCACCTGCGCGGTGGGTACCGCCACCGGGCACACGCGGGATACGGGATACGGCACGACCGGTTCCCCAGGACTCAGCGGCGGTCTGGTGGCCGGCCTTGCTGGACACAGCGTAGGCCTGACGCTTGTTCTTCGCCAGTCCAGTGTGCACGGTCTGCACGATGTCGGAGCGGATGGGGGCCAGGAAGACCTCGGGCAGGGCGATCTGCGAAATAAAAGGGGTGAGTGGGGGTGAGCAGAGCGTGGCAGGGGGCCCTCGCGCACCCCGCCAGCCGGCCATCCCGGCGCCGCGAGTGGGGTCCCACCTGCTCGGTGGCCTTGCCATCGAGGCCCTGCACCGCCACCAGGGGGCGGGCGGCTGCCATGGCGATAGGTGTATGTAGGATGTGCAGGCACAGCCTCAGAGAGCGAGACTGGCCCGGCGCTGGGTGAAGAGGACTTACTGCGTTGGCGGCAGAGGGCCCTGGGTCGATTGGGGGCAACACAGCGGAACGATGGTCCAGGGAGTCCAATCTCCCTGGTGAGCAGGGTAGTCTGCGACGCCGTGCGCTAGAAAGTAACGATGAACTTGCCTCTTAACTTTTCTTGTTGCGGGAACCTTCACGCGGGGGTTGGCTCTTGGCACTCCTGGTGCCAGGCCCTGGGCGCGCGAACTCCCCTACACGACTCGATCGGGCTCCGAGAGCGCCAGTGTTGCGACTGCACCATGGCAGAGCGCAGCGGCGCCGCAGACTGCATTTCATTATCGTAAGCACTTGCCACGGATCATCCTGCCTCGTGAGAATCTCCCCCGCGCGCGCACAAGCGTCACCATGAACCAATACCAGGTTTTCACAGTCTTGCCTTGGCAAGATTTTCATAGGATAGGGGGATCGTGGTCATGGCAGCGGGCCGAACAGTAGCCTTTCATTCTATGACGTACTCGTCGGTGGTGAGGAGGGACCTCGTGCCAAACTTGACGGGGGCGTCCCCCTCCACTGCCGTCACCTCAGCGATCCCGATGTCGCACATGGTCTTATTGGCCGTGAAGGACACCTGGAGATATATTTGAGAGTGTGGGAGGGATTGGAGAGGGGGGCGGGGGTGATGTGGGAGGGATTGTCATAATTCATACAAGCCCTCGCCCTCCACCGGGGTGTTCGTGCACACATCCATGTCGCGTTCCCTCACCTCCACGGGGAAGAAGGCCGAGGGGTCTGCGGCGGGTACGACAAACTCCAGGGCCCCCGCCGCGTTGCTGGCATCGATCAGCTCGATGCTCCAGACCAGGTGCCCCTTGCGCGCGTCGTACCGCCAGTCGCCGTCCAGCTGGTTGACCTGGGGCGCGCCGCCGGCGGGCACTGGGATGGAGATCTGTACGCCGTGCAGATCAAAGGGCACCTGGCTCTGATACTCGATGTTGACGTACGACTCGCCGCCTGAGGTGACCCAGGGAAAGGGTTGTTGGGGACACGCGAGTTGTGCTGGAAAAGCAGGACAGTGGAAACTCGACGCGCCGCTCGCGGCCAGGCCCGGCGCACGGGCCCGGGCGTCGCACGAACCTGCGCCCGACACGCTGCAAAGGCCTCGACGCAGACCGTGCGTCGTCCCTCCAACCCCCCCCCCTTCCCTTCACAGGGACTCCTCACCCCCTTTCACACCCACCCACCCGACACGGAGGGCCAGCAGTTGATGCTGAGGGGCGCGGCTGCCTCGTCGTCGGTCTGGAAGCGCCACTTGAGCACGCCCAGGGGGGCGCCGATGGGGAAGGGGCGCGCGGCGTCGCGCAGGCCCAGCACGTTCTGGGACGCGTACAACCCCTTGTCGATGTTGGGGTGCGTCTTGAACTGGAAGCCCTGCTGCGCGGCGTCGCCGGTGAGGGCCAGGCGCAGGCGGGCGTCGGCGCCCTCGCCCACCTGCAGGCTCATGGAGCCCTGGACCTCCAGGCTCTGCATGCCGCCGTCCTTGGACAGCACCACCGACAGCGTCTCCTCCACCGAGACGAAGACGGGGTCGCTGGCGGTCGCACCCACCCTTGGGCCTGTGTGTGCAATGAGGGGAGCGAGGGGGTGGGTGGGGGTTCTGGGCGACCCCAGCGGAAGACCACACCCTTGCAAGGCGACGGCGGCCTGGCACCCAGACACACACGCTCCTGCCAGGGGCTCAGGCAGTGACCCTTGCAGGCCTGGTTGGAGCACCCCCACCCCCACCCTCTCGCAGGTCGTCCCACCTGCCAGAGAGGGGGGTGCATGGGCGGAGGGTGCGTCCTCCACCGCCTCGCCCTCCGCCTTCAGACTCGCCAGCAGGTCCTTGGCCTGGCCGCCCTTGCCCAGCTGAGGCCAGGGAGTGGGTGAGCAGGGCTGGTGCAGGTGCTGCAAGCAAAGAGTTTTTGACTCTCCCCCTGCCGACATACACATCTTCTCTCCATCAGATCCTTTCTGGTAGCCCACCTGTTTACGCCCCGCCCCCCCCCAGAAAAAGGGTTCACCGCCCCACATCCACACCTGCATGCCCTTCTTGGGGCGGGAGGCGCCGAGACCAGCCTCACCGCGGCTACCTCCAAGGCCGGGCCGCGGCAGGGCGGGGCGGGACTCGCCAAACCCACCGGCCCCGGACGCGGCGGGGGCGGAGGGGTAGGCAGGCGGCCCTTCACCCGGCCTCCCCCGCGCCGAGCCACGGCCCGCCTCCATCTTCTTCTTCTCGATCTCCCCCGCCTTGCGCTGCATTGTCTCCCGCGTCTCAGCGATCTTGCTGGCGATGATCATCTTGTGCAGCTTCTCCTCATGGCTCTCCATCTCCGTGTTCTGCACCACCTGCCCCACCGTCACGTTCTCCTTGTACCCCAGGCTGATGATCTCGTCAAAGGCAAAGATGAGGTTGAAGGCCGCCTCCGACACCGCCTCCTCCTCAAGCCCGTGCACGTATTCGGGGACGACCTTGCCGCAGAGGCGCAGCGTCTCCAGGTCTTCCAGGATGTTGGAGGCCTTGTTGGTGACCAGTACCAGGTACATGGACTCCAGGGGCTGGTACAGGTACCGCACATTCTCGGTCTCCACGTAGGTGTGCTGCTTACCCTGCCCCACCAGCTTGGGGAAAGCGGCCAGCAGGCCCTCTATCCTGATGCGGGTCATGTCCAGGAACTGACGGGACACCAGGGCTGCGGGAAGGCATGGTTGGAGGGGTGAGGAACGGGGTCTTAGGTAACAATCTTCGGGGAGGTCTGCATTGGACAACACGGCGACCACGAAGGGTCCGGCCCGGGTTGCAGGGGAGGGCACCCCCGCAGCATGAAGCCCTAACTACCTTTGCCCGATTTGGTGACGATTCCTGCTGCCAGCACCACCATCGTGCCGTGCTGCTGGCCAGGCGGTGCAGGGCGGAGGGGCAGGAGATCTTAGCAACGCCCAGCACGTCGGGCGGAGCGATCAGCGTTGAGAGAGGTGATCGCGCTGAGCTTGCTCACTGGGTTGGAGTGCCGCGATCGCTGAGCTTGGAACCCCTCCTGATCAGATGCCGGGCTACCAGAGTCTGGGTGTCCCGGACTCGAACCAGCGCAGTACCCAACCTGGCGGTAACCAAACCATGGTGCACTCGAACCGTCGGGCATGTCCCACACATTCTAGGCAAGATTATCATCAGCGGATCATATATTGCACATTGCTATGACATGGGACAAAACAGGCGCAGGGAGGAGCCCCTCTTCAGCCAGGAAGGGATTTACTAGGAGGGAACACCAGGCCGTGCAAGGTGGGCGCTAGGAACATCGCAGGTGTACGCCAGTGGAAGGTGTGTAGCAAGGGCAAGTTCGGTGTGCAAGTACAAGGTTTCAATCTGCCGGGAAGGCGCTGCGGGGCTGCCGTCTCGCCCAGCTCACTCCAGCTGGCCCTTTGCATCCTTGCCGGCGTGGAACCCTGGCTGCAGGGAGGGCTGCATGCACACGCGTGCACTCAGGCCCTCTCCGTCCTGCAGGCGGATGGTCTGCTGGTACAGGAAGGGCGGCAGGGCATGCGTGTCGGGCACGATCTCGCCCTCCCGCGTCAGCGCCGGCAGGATGCAGGCGGAGAGGTAGCCGCCGCCCACACACCCCGTGTCGATCCCGGTGGCAAACGGCTCCAGCTGCAGCATCCTGTACCGGTGTGGGGTGCCGGGGGGAGGGGAGGGTTGGTTTCAGAGGGTGTGGGCCAGAGGCGTGCGCACGGGGTGAGGTATTCGCAAGGCCCCCTGGCGCGAGGTGCCATGCGCGAGTTTGCCCCTCCCGTGCCCCCCCAAGGACACCCCGAGCGCGCCCCACCCAGGTCCAGCACGCAGTGACGGCAACGCACCTCGCCCCATGCAGCGACAACACCCCTCCCCACCCCCCCCACCTCCAACCAAGCACCTGCTGCTGGCGTGGCCGAAGATGACGTGCTGCGGCCCCTGCCACTGCCCGCCCCAGGGCCGGCCCTCCTTCCAGTCGGGCCGCTCGCGCGCCTCCAGCTGGTATGCCGGCGGCACGGTGATGCGCCCGCTGCGCACCGCCTCGGCCAGCATGCGCCGCTCCAGCGCCCAGGAGAAGGAGCCGAAGGGGGGCGGGCGGGCGGGGACCACGAAGCGGATGGTGTACATGACCGCCAGGTCCTGGCAGGCCAGGGGCACGCCGGGGAGCAAGCCGCCGTGCACCACCAGCACGTTGTAGGCCTCCAGGCTGATGGTGAAGGGCAGGTTGAGGAGGAAGTCGCCCACCGCCGGCTCCAGGTCCTTGACCCAGTCGAACTCGGGGTCGGAGGGGTTCTCCCCGTGCAGGCTCCAGCGGTGCCAGTACCCCGCTGCGCGGTCGTCGTGGTTGCCACGCACCGACAGGATGCCCATCTCGTGCACCGTCTTCAGCGTCTGCGAGTATTTATTATTTAAGGAACGGGAGGGGGGGGGGGGGGGTAACCTCATGGATGGCTGGAGATGGCAAGGAAATCATGGATGTGGCTGGGAGTGGTGACCAGAAGCACCCAAGCAGGCACGGGATTGCAACCCCCAGATCGGTGGATGGACTCATGCGGTGACATCAGCCCGACTCAGCCAAAGGGCTCGGGCCCCGCAGCACGGCACTCACGTCGAGCACGTCGGGGCCCTTGCCGGTGATGTCTCCCGTGCAGATGATGAGGTCATTGGGCTCGGCCACATTCTCCAGCAGGAGGTGCAGATCCTCCAGGCAGCCATGCACATCGCCGATGATGACCACCCGCCGCCCAGCTGTGGCCTTGGCCGGGATCATCTGGTGCACCTCCTTGGGCAGGGGGTTGCCTGGCGGGCGGGGAGAGAGGTATACTGTGAGCCGGCAGTCCCGGGCACGTCCACAGGTGACTCGGCACGAGGGCTAGATGCACGCGGGCATGCAAACCCTACAGGACCCCGACAGGGTTGCTCCTCTCCTGGCCCACGCACCCTCGGGAGTGGTTTTGGGCTTCTTTGGGTTCCGCCTGGTGGTGAGGCTTGCCAACATGGCCCCAACGTCCAGTCCGCAGCACGCCATGGTGTCAGTTTCCGCCGGGTGCCTGCGCAGGGTTTGCCCGGGAATGGGTAGGATCGACGTCGCAGGGGAGGAGCAGGAACTTTGAATTGCATGCAATTACATGCCATTCATATGAAAGAGTCGAGAAGCGGGTATGGGGCCGGCTCACAGACCATGTAGTGCACCTGCCGAAGGGTCGGTAGGGTTCCTCCGGTCACACGATTGGCAAGCCCTGGAAGACCCCCGAGTCTCGCAGCACGGTTATAAATGATAAAGCGAATGGTGATAGCCTTTACAGTTAGGTCTCGCGCTGTGGCCATGCCGTAGGTTGCGTTTGCCCTAAGTATCGGCGCCCGACAAAATGCTCTCGTGCGCGCCATAGAATGGTACCTTCCTGTACGCCCGACCCACTCCCCCAACCGACCCACTCCCCCAACCGTGACCCATCAGCATAAGCCCTACGCAATCGTAGAATGGATTCCAGTAGAAGCAGGAAAAATCTGGGGTGAACCATCTCTGTGTATTCGAGCAAGTCAACAATGGAACCTGACGCCGGCCCCCCATCCTGTGGTGCAGTACTGGGTTGGCTGAGCTCCACGTCCTAGGCCTTGGCGGCACGCGCTGACGCTTTGGCTGCGCGGACAGGGGTTTAACGTGGGAATATTTTATCATTCAGCTCACTGAAATAAGCAACAACACATCTCCAACAGACCACCCCCAATCTGACCTGCCAGCTTTGCGGCGGCTTCCCGCTCCCTCTGCAGTGGCGTCTTGCGCGGCGATACCTTCCGGATGCCTGTGGGTGCGGCACTGGAGAGGTGTGTGCGTCGCAGCTTGTGTACCCACTGGCAGGATCGTTTCGGCTGCCGGTGCACCTTTGACATCATCCACGCACATCCAGACACCATCCCGGTGGCCCCATGACGGACGTTCAGGGCCCCTCGGGTCGCCATGTCACTCTCCCAAGTCTCGGCTGCAGCGAGGCCTGGGCGCACACGACGGTCTTGCGGCCGCCAGACACACACCATCCATGCCCCTTTCCCCCACCCCCAACTCCCGCCATACCCCCCCTCCACCCCACCCTCCACCCACCGCCAGCCTCCCGCTCCGTGGCGGCCGCCTCCTTCTCCCGCTCCAGCCGGCTCTTGTGCACCGGGAAGCTGCCCAGCGCGGGCATGCCCCGGCCCTCCGCGGCCGCACCGGCCTGCGCCGGGCGCGGCGAAGCCCGCGGCGCACCCAGCGCCAGCGCCGCGTCACGCTCCCGCTCCAGCCGGCTCCGGCGCTTGACCAGCGAGTCCAGGCCCGGCTGCCCGGCCTCCGCCGCCGCGGTGGCCGCACCGCCGCGGGCCGGGCCGGCGCCGCCGCGCGGGGGCAGGCCCAGCGCCTTGGCGGCAGCCTGCTCCTTCTCCAGCTGGCTCCGGTGGATGGGCAGGGCGTCCAAGGCTGGCAGGTCAACCCGCTCCAGGCCATCTTCCACCCGCGACCGGGCCGAGACGCGGGGCGCGGCCTCCGCCAGGGCCTCGTCCCGTGCCCGCTCCAGCTCGCTGACGTGGACCCTGGGTTGCAGGGCCAATGCGGGGATGTGGGTAGGATTAGGATAAGACCATGGAGAAGGGCCTGAAGCAAAGCCAATCGGTGTCACCCCGGGTTGCATGCCAGCGCGCCCCCCCGCCCCCCCTTCCCCACCCTCCGCGCCCCACCCACTTGAGGTCAAGGGGCCCAACAGCCTGCGCCGCAAGGGTGGTGCCGATGTCGCGGGCAGACACGCGGGGGGCCGCCTCGGCCAGCGCCGCGTCCCTTGCCCTCTCCATTTCGCTGCGCGCCAGTGGTTGTGGTGGCATGCAGGGCTTGGAGCGCGTGAGACCATGGGAGCTTGGTCGTGTGCTCTTGCCCCTCTTCTAGTCAACGCAACACCAAAAATGCAGCATCGCCCCCCGGATCGCACCTGACGTGGATGGTGAGGCTCTCTGCAAACGTGCGGTGCCCAAAGGCCGCGGCCGTCGTGATGTAGCCGTCGTCGTCGTCACCGTCGCTGGTGTAGGTCTCAGACCCCGAGTCCTCCTGGCCAGCTTCAGCCCGCTGGTCACCATCACTCCCCCCAGCGCTGGGCTGTGGGCCAGGCCCGCCCTGTGCTGCTGCGGTGGCCCCGTCCTCTGCGCCGCCCTCATGCGCGACCTCCACACATTGCCGCCCCGGTCCGGCCAGGGCCCCGCTGGCACCATGGCTCAGCTGGGACAGGAGCTCACCGCCATCCTCTTCACAATCTGCATCCTCTTGGACCTCTGTCTCGCCAGCATCGAAGGAGGTACAGGCCGCTGACCCTTCAGCTTCCTCCCCGTTCCCGTTGCTCTCTGCGGTAGCAAAGGCTGATTCGTCAGCCTCAGCCTCAGGCTGTGGCTCAGTCATCTCTTCAGCATGCTCCTGGATGTCTTCACTCCCTTGCAGGGTGATGGGCAGGGGCGTGATGGGGATGGTGACGCTGGATTTCCTCTCCGTCAGCAGCGGCATGTCGTCCGCTGCACCCTCTCCTGATGCCGCTGCTGCCGCTGCTGGGCTGGGCAAGACCTCCTCCGGGTAGGCTGGCAGGTCGGCCATAAGGTGGACGGTATGGGGCTGCACTGAACTGTCGGTGCTAGGAGAATCCGCTGCTTCATCGTGGGTGGATAGCTGCTGCGAGTTGGGAGGTCCCTCCTCTTCAGCAGCATCACAATCAGTAGCGCCCGCAGCGCTGCTCGTCACACTGGTTTCTCCCTCCTCAGTAGTTGCCACATCCACCCGCTGAGGATCCTCTTGCTCTCTAGTGATGACTTCAGGCTCGGGTGAGGCTCCTGCTGCTTCCTCTTCCAGCACATTCTCCGTTGCGTCCTGCTCTGCAGCTTGCGTGCAAGTCTCAGCCTGTTCAGGGTCCCCCAGGTCGGAGGGCTGCAGGGTCAGTGCCGACAGGTCCTCCACCACCTCCTCTCCAGTTTGGTCTGTACTCAAGACTGTCCTAGATCTGGTCTGCACCATTCTCCCTCAGCTGCCGCACGGGGATCTGTACCTGTCGAGACACGTATCGAGGGGAGATTCCGATCAGAAGCGAAGCTGGCTGGTTCATCAGGATCAGCACCTTGATTTTGCGTCCCATGAGACCGAGAAATTTGCTACGAGACGCAGTACTCCGCCGCAACTCCTCACCAGACTCTGACGAGGCAAGTCCGGTTACGACCTCGATCGCTGTGCCGCTTCCTCGCGAATCAATCCGCCTTTGCACGGATCAGAGCTATTTTTCTGCCTTGAGGACAGCTGCGATGGCATCGGGAGGGGCGGTGCACTCCAACCTCTTCCCCTCCAGGGCGGATGTGATCTGTCCCTCCCCGAAGCGATCGGCGGGGCGAGCCCTCCCCTTTCATGTTATCCGAGAGCCGCAAGCATGCATTACGTTCGTTGGCTCTGCGCACCGCGTGCATTTAGACCTGAGAACGAAAGCGTAACGCCTTCTTCTCATGCCAATCCATCGTGAACTCGACATTGTCCTCAGAGCTTACCGCCCTTGTTATCGGAGGTGACCTCCGGCTACCGCTCGACACCCCCCTCATCGCTGGAGGTTTGGCAGTAGGCTGAAACCAATGCAACGACCATGTGGGTTTGCTTCACCACGTCAAGGACACCTTTTAGTCTGCAGGTAGGTCGTGAGCGCGGGCAATCGCTCTGAACATCTATGAACTTTGATGCTGTTTGCGTATGGCACGACGTTGCACGCTGGCCCCCCTCCCAGGCCCACACAAAGGCCCTTCACAACATCGAGGCCCCGCCCTCTTGACAAGATTAGTAATGCACAACACCAGACGAGAGGCGGTAGCAGGCGAAACCCAGTTGTCCAAGCGGTGGTGCTCAGCCCATCAGTGCAGGGCGCAGCGCCCTCTGCTGAAGCAGGAAAGAAGGGTTATGACGCCATCATAATAGGTGCAGGCATGGGAGGGCTCACAGCTGCCTCTCAACTGGCTGTCAGGGGGGCCAAAGTCCTTGTCTTGGAACGGTATGTTGGTTGAGATGCAAATCGGCCTGTGCGACTCTGTGGGCAGAGGGTAGATTGCATCAGGGGTCTGCACAGGCCCTCACCTCTGAGAATGATTTCCAAGCCTTCTCACATGTAGCTTTGGCCTTGACTCTAGGTATACCATCCCGGGAGGCTCTGCTGGACACTTCAAGCGGGAGGGCTACACATTTGACGTCGGGAGCAGGTAGGTTAGATGGTCTGTGGTGAAGTGTAGAAGGTGCAACACCTGGCACGGGACATTGCCCTTCAATCACATGGCTTTTCTCCTTCTGGACATGAAGGCAGTTCAAGTGCACCAACAGCCTTACTCTCGTCCCCCTCCCACGCATTCCCTGCAGTATGATGTTTGGGTTTGGAAAGGAGGGCACGACCAATCTTATGACTCGTGCACTGGAGAGTGTGGGCAAGCACCTTGACACGATTCCGGATCCGACCCAGATACACTACCATTTGCCCGTGTCCAAGGCGCATCCCGACGTGAGGCTGCAGAGGTGGCCTTTGTGGTGTTGGCGGAGTGGTAGGTGAGCAGCAGTGCCCGTGTGGTTCAGAACTCTCATTCCTGAAAATCCCATCACACTCAGGGTTTGCATGTCCGCGTCTGGCGTGACTATGAGGAGTTTGTGGAGGAGCTGACCGCCTGCTTCCCTCACGAGGCTAAAGGAATCCGGGGCTTCTATGGCGAGTGCTGGAAGGTGGGTGCTTGGTGGCCGTGCCAGAATGGGGTGAGTTGCGTTTGTATGCCTGATGGGCATCCATTGTTTGGGGCCCTGGTCTCCCCTATGCCCACTTTGAACCCCCTGGCTCAAACACCTGCCGTTCAGGTGTTCAATGCCCTCAACTCCCTGGAGCTCAAGTCGCTGGAGGAGCCACGGTACCTGCTGCAGCAGTTTGTCAGGGCCCCCCTCGCATGCCTGACCCTGGCCGCGTATGTGGGGGTGAATGCAGGTGACGTGGCAAGGAAGCACATCAAGGTATGTGTTGAGTTTGTGGGGGCCACGGGTTGATTCAATGGATGGATACTTGAACTGGTGCAGGAAAACGCATGGGCTGTTGGTCTCTGTTTAGGCTGCCCATGACAACAATCTTGCTCCTGCGTCCTGACGCTCCTCACCTCAACCTCCCCCACCTCAATCCCTTTCCCGATGAACCCCAAGTAGGACCCGGAGCTATTGAAGTTCATCGACATCGAGTGCTACTGCTGGTCAACAGTCGCAGCGGTTGACACACCCATGATCAACGCCGGCATGGTGTTCTGTGACAGGCACTATGGCGGCATCAACTACCCAAAGGTGACCATGCAAGGAGCTGGAACTTTCCTGCTGCTTCCCCTTGTGGAAACCTCCGAAGGTAACACCCAGACCCCACTCCCCTCCTCACACATTCCCTCCCCAATCATGCTGCAGGGAGGGGTGGGCCGCATCGCCGAGCTGCTGGTGGACGGCATCGAGGAGCGCGGCGGTGAGGTGCGCTACCGGGCTGGGGTCCAGCGCATCCTGGTGGAGAATGCCCCTGCCGATGGCGACCCAGGCGAGCAGAGCTCCAGGGCCGTCGGCGTGGTGCTCACCGACGGCACGGAGATCAGGTGGGCGATGGCAACCCTGTCGCATGCCCCTTGCTGCTCTGTGGACGAGCATAGAATGTGACGCGTTGATGCTCAGGGCAGCGTGAGCATGACCGCGAGCTCACTCACACCGCCCAGACCACCCTGCGATCCCACAATACATCCTTGCCAGGGCCAAGACGGTGATTTCCAATGCCACCCGCTGGGACACCTTTGGCCGGCTGATATCTGAGGAGCAGATGCCCGAAGCAGGTCGGGCGGGGAGGGGCTGGAGGTGGAGTGACACAACGGATTGCATGTTCCATGCTTTACATGCGTGGCTGTGCACATTTGGGACTCGCAACCCAGCAGCACCCCCCCCCTGCACCGCTCCTCACGACCACCTGGCCCCACCGCAGAGAAACTTTTCCGTGGACGGTATAAGCTGGCGCCTTCCTTTCTGTCCATACATGCCGGGGTGAAGGAGCAGGTGCTGCCCCCGGGCACAGACTGTCACCACATCGTGGTGGAGGACTGGGCGCGCATGGAGGTGAGTGGCTGGCATGGCCTGATGGACGCTCATGCCGGGTTCAGGAGGGGGATCTTGCCGGTGCGGCTAGGGGATGCCCCGGGGGTGCCGTGCTGGCACACTCGTGTCATCGATTCCCTCCCGACAGGCGAGGCTCATCGTGACGCTCTGCTCCCACCCCGCTGACAGGAGCCGCTGGGCACCCTGTTTGTGTCGATCCCGTCGCTGCTGGACGCGGGGCTGTCCCCCGAGGGGACCCACCTCTTCCACGCCTTTGCGCCCGACTGGGTGGCTGACTGGACGGGCCTGGAGCCCAAGGCGTACGAGGCGAAGAAAGAGAGAACTGCTGACGCCATCTTCAAGCGGCTGGAGGCCGCATTCCCTGGTCTGGCGGAGGCCACGGTGTACAGGTGGGCCTTGGTGGAGGCGGCCGCGACAACGCCCAGCCGACATGCCACCTTCCACTCGGGCCTGCGCTGGGTGGGTGCCTACCATGCACAGTGCCCAGCCCCTGGCAGCACCCACCAAGCAGCCCACTGATCCCTCGGCACCTCATCCCACTCACCCTCCCGGTCCCCACAGGGAGGTGGGCTCCCCGCGCACCCACCGCCGCTTCCTCAACCGCAAGGACGGCAGCTACGGCCCCATCCCGTCCCGCCGCCCCCGCGGCATGCTGGGCATGCCCTTCAACCGCACCGCCATCCCGGGCCTGTACTGTGTGGGCGACTCCACCTTCCCCGGCCAGGGCGTGAACGCCGTGGTTTTCTCGGGGTTTGGCTGCGGCCATCGCGTGGCCTGCGACCTGGGCTTGGAGCAGGGCTTCCCAGCACTGGACGGGCCGTACAACATGCTGCTGGGGGCCATCAGGGACCGCGTCTGATCCAGAGCGTTGTATTGCAAGGGAAGAGGGTTGCAGCAGTGGGAGGTGCGACGAGCAGTCACGACGTTTGTGGAAGGCCCTGGCCTGAGCTGTTTCAGGCCGGGGCGGGAGTGGTGTGGCAGTCACAGGAAGCCCAGGGCTCGCAGGTGGTCATGGGGATGGTGACCAGTCAGGTGGGAACCGGATGGCACGCGCTCGCTCCTGCGCCGCCAGACATCACGTGAAGACCGAGAGGAGGACCATGAGGAGCACCCCCAGGATGGTGTAACGGAAGGCTGCGGCCGCCAGGGCCCAGGTAACAATGAGCAGCTTGATGGCCAGGTTGCCCACTGCCAGGCCCAGCATGCCCAGTAGCAGGAGCACAGCCACGTCCTGGAACCTACTCCTTGCGCCAGGCCCGCGCTGGCGAGTGGAGAGGTGAGGTGAGAAGGTGTCGTCAGGGAGTTGGGCACTGCTGTGTGCCAACACTTTCAGTACAGCCAAAAAGCACGCAGCGTGCATGTGGGCGCTTGGAATGGTCGAGTCAGCAGCACCTCGCCCGCAAGGCATGGGCACCGGCCAAACACCCCGCAATGTACCTTGGCATAGGACGCCTCATCCTCTAGGAGGTCGTCGAGCTCCTGCACGGCGTTCTGGTTGCGAGCCTCCCAGTCCCACTCTGGGTCCCCCTGCCATCCCGCCACATCACTGTCGAGTGGTAAGGATCTGAAAACTGTGCTGCGAGGGTGTCGAGGGACTATGGGCCGGTGGAGGGCCAGGAGGTCTGTCCCGGGTCTGGGGCAGAGGGAGCGGCAGCCCAAAGCTGTCCTGCTCAACATTGATGCATCTGATCAAACGGCGAAGCAAGATATTCAAGCTCAAAGAGTGGGGAAACATGCCTTCGACCGTCTGTCGCCTCCTCAAATTCAGAGGCAGAGGCTGACGAGGGTTTCAACCTCCGCGCGCGCAACTGTCCCGGGTGCGCTGGAGCTTTGAGTTTGCGGCGAGGCCCTGGCGGAACTGGACCAAAATGATTGATGTGCTGTCCTCGAGATCGGGGCATGACCTGTGCTTGCAAGGGCATGGCGTTGTGATTACCTCGCTCCCCCGGGATACTTCCGGGGGAGGCTAGCAACCACCACCAAGAGAGAGGAGAGATGAGTACCTATTGAACGCCATCGATGGGATTTTTATACATGAGTTCAATTAATGCCCTGATGGCATCATTACTCACCCGTCACGGAGGTGCTGATGTCCAACATGTCCAACATGTGGTCCGCCGGAACTTCTGTCAAGGAGACGCTGGGATAATGAGGACGATGCGAGGGCAGTGGGCGCTCATGTGAAACCACTCAATGGAGGATAGGGATTCGATCGGCCTTGAGGCGCTCCTTCGGGCTGCTCGAGGTGGAAGGGGTGGTGAAGGGATATCTCTGACCACGGGCACATCCTATCATGCCGACCTGAGCCTGCGTGTCCGGGACCACAACAAAGCTGATCATCACCGCTATTGAACAGAGAGGGAGGAAGATGCCCGGGAGAGATGCACACAGCTGGAGGCCGATGCTGCCGCTCAGTCTGCCAAGGCCCTTGCAGCGCTGCAGGTTGTGGGTGGGGAGCAGCAGACACCCATGGTCTGCACCAGGAGCGAGGGGTATCAAACACATCAGACCAACGGTATTGTGTATCATGCAGCGCACTTGTGCGTCACAATGCTGATCCACTCCCACCAATCAGGAGGTTGATGACGCACACGCAACGATTGAGGGCCTGCAAAAAGAGGCACAGAACGCTTGGAAAGCCAGCGATGCCAGTCTCGAGAAGGTAAACCCGTGCAGCATCCATAGGCATCAAGTCAGACTCCCCCCCCCCCCTTTTCACGACCCTGTAGGTCCACAGGTGTAAGTTTCCTGACCATATACACTCGCCAGTCCTCGCCTTCATCCCTCCCGTCCACTCCACTCCACAGGAGCTGCAGGCCAAGGCTCAGATTACCCGGCTGCAGGTGGAGGTGGACAGCCTGACCCAGCTGTTGGAGCAGGGCACGGCTGCCACCTTTGCCGACGAAGCCGAGGTGGAGGAGCTCATCCGTCAGAAGGATGAGGCGGCAGCGCAACGTGATGCACACATGGCCGCCGTGGCTGAACAGCGTTCGGAAGTGGGTGGTGGCTGCCGGGGTATGGCTGAAGCTGGTCATAGGGGATTAAAAAATGAAGGAATGACAGCGGCCTAGGGCTTTGTGAGTTGATCTGCGCATCGCTGCAAGGTGAAGTTGCTGATGCCGTTTCCTCCGGGTCCTGCCCCCGCAGATCCTCAGGCTCAGCGAGCGTCTGCGTGCGGCAGAGTCGGAGCGGGCCCTTCTGGAGGGCGAGGCCGCGACCCTCAAGGAGGCGGCAGCGGAGCAGCGCTCTGCCGCCGAGCGGGAGACACGGCGGCGGGAGCGCCTTGAGCGTGAGGTGAAGGAGGCCCGGGCGCTGCTGGAGGCACGCCAGGCAGAGCTGAGGGAGAGCAGGGCTTCGGCGGCCGCGGCAGACGATCACCTGCAAAGACTGCGGGTTGGGACCAGGAGGGGGCTCAGTCGCGTCATGAGGATGGGGCTGGGGAAAGGCATGCCTTGCCCCTGTGCATGGCCTCACCATGACAACGCCCCTCCCACATCTCGTCCTGCCTGCGTCAGGTCACGCTGAGGGATACGCAGGCAGGCAACGAGAGGCTGCAGAAGGAGTGGAATCAGGCAACGGAGAGGAGTGCCAGGCTGCGCAAGGACCTGGACACCCAGCTGGCCGGCAACGAGCGGGTGGGCGCTGGAGACTACCTTTGTATCCCTCGCTGGCCGTGTCTGCTGGCCTGAGGCGCATGCGCCTCCCATTGCGTGTCCTGGGCTGTTGTGCACGGGCGCCGAGCGCTGGCGATTGGCAAATGCAATTATGTCCCTTGGCATCTGCAGGCAGCAGCGGGACTGGCAGCCAGGCAAGCAGAGCTGGAGGCCAAAGTGACTGCCAACGGAGCGCTCAAGGTGAGGATCCTAGCTGACTGGAGGTTTTAAAAGAGAGCAGGGTACAAAGCACATTGACAAGGTGCTCTCTGCCAAGCATTTTTGCAAAGCAGACCCACCCATTTCTCATCCCCACACCCCATGTCGACTGCCTCACAGGCTGAGCTCGAACATGCCTGCAGGGCCACTGAGGTGGCCGAGCACCGACTCCGGCTGCTGGAGCGGCAGAAGGCAGAGCTGGAGAGGTCCCATGACTTTCTGAGAGTGAGCTGCTTGGGTTAAAAGTGTGACCATTGTTTTCTGGTTGACGTTTTGACAAGATGAGCACTATGTCAGGGCATAACAGAGGCAATTACATTACTCTATGTCCAGACAGAGGTGGCAGGCTTAGAGAGTGCCCTGGAGGCAGCCCAGAGGGATGCGATGCTGCAGGCCATTAAGCAGGAGGCCCTGAAGAAGGAGCATGAGAGGTGGCCATGGATGATCGATGCCGTAGCTGGGAGAGGAGGCATTGCAACGCAGCAAGGGAGGGTGACGAGCTTGCTTTTGGATCTTGAATATAATAACCACTATGTACATTGCTGGGTCCCACGCCAGGCTCATGAGATCCCGGAGTGCAGCTGAGAACACTGCACACGTCCAATCCGAAGCTGTCAAGGTGTGCGAGGGTGTGAGTTTGGATGCCTTTGGTAGTGTGACAAAACTGCGTTGTCGGGGTTGGAACCAGCTTGCAGCCACTACCCATGTTTACCTGCTGGCATAGCCACTGCATCAGAAAAGAAGAGGGCTCCCTGCACACATTCCCGCCCACTCAACTCATCAGGCAGCCGAGGTCGACAATCGCATCCTGCAGCAGCAGGTGGCAGTTGCCACGGCCCAGCTTCACGCTTTGGAGAAGGTGTGTGTGCATGGAACTCAAGGCTCTATGCCTTCTGTGCACAGCCGTGACGTGAGGCCTGCCACAAACTTCCCAAAACTGGTGTGGGATGCGAGCACTCCCGCCATGCACCACCCTGCACCCATGGTCTGGGATGCATCCATTCACAGGCCCAGCGCAAGGCAAAGCGTGAGCTGGAGGGGGCCGAGCACGAGCTGGGCGACGCGCAGCGACACAGGGACGAGGTGGAAACGGCGAACGCTTTGGCGCAGACCGAGCTGAAGACGTTGCACCGGGAGCTGAAAGGTCAGGGCAAGCTCTTGGACTGCCCAGTGCCTGCTCTTATCGTCCTTGCTCATCAACAATCATAGCTGAAGCCCAGAGGGGACCCATTGCCGCGCAGACATGGAGCTGGAGTGGCGCGCCGCCGCCAAACGGTGCGCCGTGCTGGAGGAAGAAAGAGCGGCGCACCGCTTGCAGTTGCAGAAGGCCCAGCAGGAGTCCACATCTGCAGAGGGGGCTCTGAGGCTGGCGGTGAGATGTTACTTGTGTTGGGCTGCATGCAGGCGCTGTCCTTGTCTTCGGGTGGGCAGGTGCTGCCGCGAGAACGTCCTGGAGTAGTGCAAGCACGAAACCCATCTCCAACACAGGGCATCGAGGCTGCGCAGCTGGGCAAGGAGGTGGCGCATGCGGAGGACGCCTTGAAGAAGGAGAGGGCTTCGCTCCTCATGGTTTGCTGGCCGAGGGCTGAGCACTGGCTGGCGGTTTTACCAGCAGTCCTGACCAGAGCGCCAGATTTAAAGGTCGCCGCTGGTCCGCTGACGAGCGCTTCAGCCCCTTCGCAGGCCCAGGCGAGGTGCGCAGCGGTCCAGGAGCAGGCAAATAGTGCCAAGCAGGAGCTGGCTGCCACGGAGGAGAGACTGGCGGGGGCGAGGCAGGAGCTGCAGGCCACCCATGCTCGGCTGGCGGGCTCGGAGCAGGTGGGCTGCTTATTTTAGGCGCCTGAACAGGCCCTGGATGCTGCTCGACACACTCCTGTGACCCAGTAATCAGGCACCCATGCTTGCCCTACTCGTCAACTGTCCCACTTTCCTCAAGCACCAGGCCCGAATCCGGCTGGAAAGGACGCTCGACGCCGCCCTGCGCAGCAGGGACGGCCTGGCAGTGCAGCTGGTGGCCCAGGGCAGCACAGTGCACTCGCAGCACGAGAAGATCCGCCTCCAGGAGAGCGCCCTCCAGAGGTGCGGGGCCGGTGGGGTCTGAACGTGTGCGACAGATGCTTGCACAGGCGGGGCGTGCGCTCTGTCCGGCGTGACAGTGTAAGAAACATGCTGGGCGCCGCAGGATCACTTGCTCACCGGTGCCGTTTGAATCCCTTCACACAGAGGTCATGCGCAGTACCAGGAGCGCTTGGCCGAGGCAAGGTACCTTCGCACGCAGGTGCCTCGACGCAGGACGCTGGTGCCTGAGCCCTCGCTGCATTGCATGCCTGGGGGCCAGCAGAATTCTTGCAGGAGAGCAGGCAGGGATTAACAAGTCACCCCCACTTGCTTCCAACCTATAGGTGTCTTCCAGCATCCACGAGCTGTCCATTGCCAAGGGTGCCCTCGCCAGTACATCACTGATGAGAAAGGAGCTGCAGTACCTCACGCGCTGCCTCCTCCAGGTGCGCCGTCTGAGATGCATGCCAGGCGGGTTTGTAAAACGATGCTGGCAGGAGTTCGGCGTCACAGGGCCAGCTCACTCATCCAAGGACCGGGATTTTGGGTCTTCAACCTGTGTATGACTATCAACGGTTGCGACGGCCAACCCCTTGCCAGGAACAAGCCAGAGTCAAGGCTCTGAACGAGGAGCTGGACCGACCGCTGAACGTCCACAGGTGGCGGAAGCTTGCAGGGACAGACCCAGATGCCTATGAGCTCACCCTCAAAGTCCACGCCCTGCAGGTGGTGTGCTGTGGTGATGGCGCTCAAGCGCTCTCATGAGTGTTGCTGAATGGTCGAGATCTTCGGACAAAATCGCTCAAACCTTGTGTAGTCAATAGAGCCGCATACCTGAGCCAACCCTCATCACCACGTTCCCCCGCTACAGAAACGCTTGATCTTGAAGACCGAGGAAGTTGCACAGAAGGAGCTGCTCTTGCAGGTGGAGCACTATGAGTGATTTCGAGCAGTGGCAGGGTGGCTCCATGCTGCTGCGTGAAATCCTCTGACAGATATCTTGCAAACCCCGAATCCCCTCCCTCCCGCTATGCCAACTGCAGGCCAAGGAGCAAACGTATCAAGAGCTCAAGGAGGCGCACGCCAGGATGCCCGGAGCTGACGCTGCTGAACAGTCCAGCATACAGCAGGTTGTTTGGCAGAATGTACATGCAGAGAGAGGCTTGGCTCGCAGGATAGGGCTAGACCCTTTGGTGACTCAAGATGCAAACACTCTTGAAGTTCTGTCCCCTTAATCCTCCAGGCAGTAGCCAGGGACCGTGCCAAGCAGCTGAAGGTCATCACATCTCAGCTTGCTGTAGCAAACAACCAGGCATGTGGTGCAGTCTTTGTCTGAGGCTGCCAAGGCATGCCTCCGCACGCATCTGGATGAGCTGGGAATCCAGCCCACTCACATGCGTGCCATCCCGGACCTTCCTGCTCAGATTCTGGAGTACAAACTGGAAGTGGAGAGGTTGAAGGAGGAGAACAAATCGCGCAAGGGGACGTCAGAATCAGTGCCAATTGATAAACGGGAATGGGACGCAGCGGCGGATGTCAAGACACACTCAGATGCCAAGACTTTGCCAGAGGTGCGCAAATACCTGTTCAGGTGTATATAAAACATATGTTTCTTGCATGCACACTTCAAGTATCTGACTTTGAAACCTCTGGTGCAGGCCCGACCTCAAGAACGTGCGTCATCGTCAGGCGCTGCAGGGGCCCAAAGGCCGGGCGCCTTGCTGCCAGCAAAGCGAATGCCAGGACACACAAGACAAGCGCCCCTTGGGAAGAATGGCTTGGTGGATGGTACCATCAGGGTCGTGGCCTGTTGAAGGGCAGAGCAGTGGATGTGGCGATGTTTTAAATGCAGGGTGTCCCAGCCAAAGCATGCTCAGCACCTTCAAGCAGACTGACCCTGATCGGCATGCGATGGAAATACGAACAAGCACGAAAGCCATTCCATCAGGGTGCAGTGCAGGGCGTCATTCCGTTTTTGTACAACCAAGTAGATCATTGCTCCTATCACAAAGGGGCGGGGTTGATCCGAGCCCCATAGCCAGGGACACCCGTCGCCGGGCATCGAAATCCTGAGAGCGTGGAGATTGGCGACATGCAGGCGGGCCCGGTAGCACCATCCGCCCTCTTATCAAACCTTATATCAGATAAACCCCTGGGGGAGCTGGCATATGTCCCGCTCAACATAAAGAATAACCTGGATGTCCTGGCCTTCAAGTAGGTGGTGCAAGGGGGGTGCGACGTAGCCTCCGATTCGGTTCCTCGCAATGCTCACAGGGTGACCATTGACCCTCTTCCCCGCAGCCGCATCTGGGTGTCCCTCTTGACGGGAGTGCTGACCGGCTGCTCTGGCTTGACCGGGTTCCGAGGCTTTGGAGTGTACCTGCTGGGCCACCTGCTCCTCAGCATCCTCCTCCTCGTCAAGACCAAGAACGCGCCCTCCAAATACTTTGCCTCCAGGTATGTGGTGAGCGGTCGTCTTTCAAACTGCTCTGTAGTCGTTTGTGTGCTTGACGTTTGGATCCATGTCCAGACCTCACCTGCCGCAGTGGAGCAGCATCCTCCAAGCACTCCACAAACTCCCCCTCCCCCCCCTTTACGCCCACAGCCTGACCCTGCTGACGAGTAATGTGTTTGCGCAGACGGAGCTCTTGACCTTTGTATTATTCTGGACGCTGACGAACAACATAGTCTTCCTCTTCTGATGCCTAGATTGGTGTGAGAAGCTTGCAAGCCCCCCTCGTCCCAGATGGGATGGTTTGACAACCCAAACAGAGTGCATGGCATGACACCGGTACAGATCTTCTCGCGCATTTCTTCCACCTGGCTCCGACTGCACCCCCCCTCAACCCAGCTTGGCAAGCACGGTGTCCAGAGCAGACTTGGTGGAGTCCAGCAGTCCCAGGGCCTTGGTCTCGTCCTTCTTCCGCAGGGCCAGATCGAGCGCCTCGGTCTGGTGTGGAATGGATATGAATTTTGAGGCGTTATCAGATGCACAGATTTAGGTAATTGCGAGGATCGCGGAACAAGCATCTTCTCCGAGAGCTTTATCCACCCAAGGATGGTCCTGAGCAGAAAAGTTACCCTCTCTGCAGTGATCCCTGGGCTCAAACCCAAGCCTGTCCGGGACAGAAACCACTGTGAGGGTGTGGCTCACCTGCTTGAGGAACTGCTTGCCGGCGGCAAACGCCTCCTTCTTCTCGGCCTTGGGCAGGGACTCGGCCACCGCGCGCACATCGAATCGCAGGGTGCCCACCTGGCGCCGCAGCTGCTCCCTGGCTTCCGTCCTGCATGGCAGGGGTATGAGTGGGCAAGCATGGTAAAGCCATGCCCGCTCGATGATGGGGGGAAGGGGGATGTTCGCGCTTGGCTCCACGCCACCCACTGGGCCCATCCCATGCTCCCTGCCTCCCGCTTGCCGGGATCCATGCCCCTCGTATATATGGGGACCAATCACCAGTGTGGACGCTCCCACATTGCGGCCCCAAACCCCTTCCACCTCACCACACCCACAACACAGACCACAGGGCCCTCCCACTTCCAATGGACTACGCACCAGTAGTTCTTGCGGATCCACTGCTCCAGGTCCTTGTCGATGCTCTTCTCAGACTGCTGCAGGCGCTTGCGCGTGGCGCCCAGGTCGGTGCGGGCCTGGGTAAGCCCATCGCGCTCGGCCTGGGTCAGGTTCAGGTCGCGGGCCTCATAGATCAGGTCGAACCCGGTCTCGCGCGCCTTGCGGTAGTCCTCCAGCTCCACGGCCTGGGCGCGGGGGGTGCCAGCCAGGCTCAGAGCCGCGACCCCGGCCAGCAGGGAGCCCAGCACGGCACGCCTGCCCTCCAGGGCAGCGGGTCTGCAAGGGGATGGGAAGAAATGGGGCTGGGGGGTAAATTGTTGGGATGCAGGCCGAATGCTTCGCCTTGTGGACCGAGAGCTGGAGCACCGAGACCAGCTGCCCCTCGAGCATGGAGCCTTTGATCCTCACCTGACCACCTTGGCCGGGCCGGCACCTGCGTACATGCGATGGGAGGTATGGGCTTGGCTTGGTGAGTTTATAACACATGACAGGCAATGTGTAAGATACTCCTTCGACAGCTCAAAGTAACCAAACAGTATCGCAGCCCACAGGCAACCGTACCATGACGAGGTGCGGGGGCCTGGGCCGTGACCGACAGCACCCTGGGGGGTAAGGGTCGAGGAGCATGCATCGGTACCGCGATAGAAGAGTCTACGAGGTGCATGAATTCCTCTTGCCGATGCCGATGCCTGGGAGCACCCATGCGTGCCAAGCTTTTGCAGGCAATCCCCCACTCCCCGGGCGAGGGTCCACCCACCTTGACGCGCACAGAACCTGCATCCTGAGAAATTACTGCTGGTCTTCTTAGGTGCCTCGGGTAGCCGATGTGGAGAAATACGCCGTGTGAAATTGCGGAGGTCGGCATCTACGAGTCTATCATGGACGGTGCCCGGGTCGATCATACGAAATCAAATCCATATCTCGAGAGGTTTTTCAGGAGGTCGACTGAAGTCTAATTTCTTTGGTAAAGCTGCAAACATCACGGATCTTCCACAGGGGCATAAATGTTAGATGCGGTTGTTGTTTTTAACGCAAAATAATTTTTCGTTGCCCTATTTGGCACAAGTAACTTGTCCAGCCGAATTCCCACCTGTACCAAAGTGGAAGCGATTCACACACACACACCTTTGGCTTCCGGGTGGCCGTGTGAGATCATTTGAAGACCAAGCACAGCTGTAAGTTGACAATCTTTACCTTAAGTCGGGCGGGGGGGGGTGGCAATGGAATCGTCGCATGGGTCTACCTTCCAGCTCTGAGAGGTGGCGTAGGATGCTTCACATGCCGCGCGCAGCAGCATGAATCTCTCGCTCCACAAAATCTTTCCGCTCGACATGGAACGACGGAATATTGCTATGCTTGCTCCACTCACATCCTGTAATTGAAGGCGTGGAAAGTCTGATCAGAGACGGCGTAAGCACGCCGTGCCAGAAGGTTGAGCGATTCCATGCGGGTGGACACGCGGTGCCTGCCCCTATGCTGGTCCAGTCTCCGAGACCAGATCCTCAGGCACGATGCATGCAAAGCGTTCCATCTCGCTGGAACTGCGGGCAGTAGTGCTGGTTTTCATTCCTCTACGGATGTAGCAGGGCGCAAGAGCCACTGGGAGGCCCTGGCAAAGCAGGTGATTCTCGACCATGTTGGCCGTCTGAAAGCCAGGGGCTGGAATGAAACTTCGACGAGAGCCACACGCCTGCAGTCCCCGGGTGACAGATTGCCCGACCCTCTCATCCACCTCGTATGCCCAGGGTATACCAGTCAATGTATGCAACAGCAAGCTGCATCCTTCCGTCAAGGAGGGCATCCCCCCGCCGGGGAAGAAGGAGATCAGTCTCCAGCGAGCATATACACCGGAGAGCAAATGCTTTGGATGCGGTGGGTTTATAATTTGGTGCAGGCTCACAAGTTCGGCAGTGCAGAATGGAGCCTGGCCGGTTCTAGCCACTGACTGTATCGCATGGCATTGTGGTACTCATGCCAATGATTGCTCATACTGCCTTGCCAGGCCCAGCGGCAGAAGGCGGACTGCGCCTAGAGTCGTACCGGATCAGGCATGGCCTGCAAGCTAGCATAACCCTGGATGACAAGTACTGCACCTTTCCAGGTGGGAGGGGCAAGGAATGGGCCTGGAAACGAGCGACTCATCAACCAGCCATCAGAGCGTCTGCCCACAGCCTTTGCTCCTCAGGCCACCTCAAAGACAGAATCCCATCCACACCCTCCAGGGATCATCAACGGCGGCATCATCTCCACCCTATTCGACTGTCATGGGAACTGGACGGCTGCGATAGCGCTGATGGACCTCCACGCCACCCCCAAACCACCCCTGACGCTTACCTACGAGCTCCTGGTGAGCGGGGAGGGTGGGGATGGGGTGGGAATACACGCTTCTGACGTGCTCATGTTGTGGGTAGGAGGATATCGGCAGATCCTCCACCGGCGTGTCACCGCATGGTGTGAGATTGCCGTCGCATGGTGCCTCCCTGCTGGTCAAAACCTGCTTCAGTCACACCAGGTACCCCCCCACACTCTCAGGTCACATTCAAGGAGCCGACCCCGCCCGGCGTCCCACTGGTGGTCAAGAGCCACGTGACCAGGGTTCAGGATGTCCAGGAAGCCGGCCAGAAAGCCGGTGTACAGGTTTGTAGATGGGGGCATGGGATGTCCGCTGTGCGCCAGGCGTGGGCGTGACTACTCTCTTGAGACTCACCACGGTTGGTTTGACGCTGGCCTGCGCCAGGGCCAAGGTACCATTGCCGGGGTCTGGGCGCATGCTCACCCCCTCCCCCCCATCCTCCGGTTGACACCAGGTCGACATGAAGCTCTACCAGGCCATGGGCGCCCACGAGAAGCTGCTGGCCGAGGCCAACGGCATCTTCAAAAAGGTCGGAGCGCTGCGAGCCCTGTGACAGCCAAGCCCTGGCCGGCCTGCCAGCACCCAACATGACCCCCCATCAGGCCTTGGATCAGTCCTGTCGTGCCATCGATTTCTGTCAAAGTATCATCCTGCTGGAATCACACCCCTCCCCTTCTCAATGTCGGAGAACGCCTGCCTGTTTTCTCTGGAGGCCTCGGAAACCAAACAGCTCTCTTGCGTGTTACACACGATGCAACGCCCGTCCCGTCTCTGGGGGCGTCAACGTTGCATGAGCCCGCTCAACCCCTTCCCAGAAATCTTCACACCGTCGCGGCCTGCAAGCGCCGCGTCTCGCGCAGCCTCCTCCAGGCCGCCACGGCTGCGTCGTCCAGCCGGCGGGCCAGGGCCAGGGCCGCCGCCGGTTCAAGGTCCAGCGCCGCCGCGCCGTCCACGGCCTGGGCCGGCTCGCTCTCCTCGACGGCAAAGGTGCGCGCGGTGACACCGCGCAGGAAGGAGTAGGTGCTGGACTCCGGCTGGGTGGGGGCGGCCGCCGGCGTGGTGGCCGGGGCAGCGGTCTTGACGATCGCGGGCGGCGCCACGCTGGCACCCGCCAGGGCCAGGTCGTCTGCCACGGGCACTGCCAGGCCGCCGCTGAGCACCTCCAGCAGCTCCCCCTCCTGCCCCGCCAGCTGGTCCATGACCGCCTGGGACTCGCTGCGGATGGTGAAGCGCAGGATGGGGGCGCCGGCGGGGGAGCACTCAATCCCCGCGCCCAGCCCCGTCAGCAGGCAGGCAACGACGTCGCCGTCCCAGGAGGTGCCGTGGAAGGCGGCGTGCACGCCGTGCCCGGGCGTCACAGACTGTTTTGGGG